AAAAAAATGTAAACAAGCACAAAAATCCACTGTGTGCTTTTTTTTACATGACAATAGAAGCTACTTTTAGCCAGTCAGAAGATGCATGTCATTGGTTTTTACAGCAATGGCTGTGAGCAGAACTTATTTATTGCACTGACTCGCTCTTGCTGCTTGATTGCATTGTGGATCGGAACATTTGCTAGAAAAGCTCACGTTAAGAGTCAGGTTTTGTGTTCTGTAAAGAAAGTGTCTCTTTCAAAGTGCATTTTCTGGAGAACTGCCTTCTGTGACTTTAAAGTCTTTGAAACGCTTCAAAAACACTAAAACGTCTGCATGCTCTCGATAAACCTCCCTGATGCTGAGAGCCAAAACGGCCGACCCAATACGCAGCGAGAAAAGAAAAGTTGTTTCACTTTTCACTTCGCCTGGTTCCCTTTGCCACCAACAATATTTGGCGTATTTTATGGTTGCAGAAACGATTGACGACGCTGCCGTCCAATTAGAGACAAGAAGCGTGGCTCTATTACGCAGCTGTGGCAGGCGACTCTCACCAAGGCTGAGTGAACCTCAGAGTGCAGAAAGCAGGAGCAACAAGCAGGAGAGTACGGCTCTAGTGCTTTAATTAATGACTGACTTGTGCAACCAGGCAACAGCGAAGGAAAGACCGGAGTGATGACCAAATTGGGAAACACGATTAAAGGCGCACCACCTCCAGTGGTTTAACATCTCAGACAAGCAGAGGGATGAAAGTTTGACCTCTGCTAATTTCCAAGTCAATGAACTCAACTTGATGCTACCAGCTGCAGCTCAGGAAGACAAACTGCTGGAAAGTCAAGCCTAACCCCTAACCCTAACCCCTAACCCTAACCCCTAACCCTAACCCTCCACGTCCAACTCTAGACATTATCAAAACATTGAGAGAAATGATAAGAGGCGTTAAAAAGTGCTAATGCTAATGTTAAAAGGTCTTTTTGTTGTTGTTTGTTTGTCATATTACTAAATTTGCTAATTACAAATTGCTTCCAAACTTTTTCCTCGTCTAATTTATCCTACAGAGATCAGCCGTAAAACAAATCTCTCCTTTAAAGACACAGTATGTCAATAAAAAAAATGTTTTTGACATATTTGGTCAAACTGTCAAGTTTGAGACAAATAGTCTGTGAACAAAAGGAGCTCCTCTGCTGTCTGCATCAAGACACAGTTCCCAAGTAGAAGCAACCAATCGGAGCCAGGAGGAGGGGTCTTCACGCTGTCAATCATGCTCCAGTATGTGAGAACAGGGAGAAAGTAGAGGAGCTTGACTGTTTCACAGATTGTGTCATGATAAACTGTCATCACATAATAATAGTTTTAACAAATTGGTGCAAAACACTTCTTTTTTTTTGTAAAAGTTGCATACTGCAGATTTAAACATGTTTTGTTCAAATATCTTTTGAATTATAATAATTTCAGTAGTCAGATTTCTTCAGTCAGTCTGTCAGCATATTTGCTCTATGTGCCTTACAAAAGTTCTTCACATCTCTCAGACTTTGAGAATCTCTCTTCCTCTTTAGGTGAACATAACAGATGTTCTGTCAGATTTGACTGGGTTTTGACTAGGCCATTTCAAAACCTTGCCCTTTTTTCCCCGAAGAGATTATTTTGTTGAGTTGCACGTGTAGAAGGATCCACTGTGAAGAGGATACGATTCCTCTGAGCTAAACAAAAACCTCTTATCCGTCCGAAGATAAGAACCCAGAGTCTGAAGCTGTTACTGTAGGCATGCTGAACATTGGTAAATTTCGAAAGCTGAAGCTGAACTCCGTCGGATCAGAACACATTCTCCCACAAAGTCCTGGGACATCTTAGCCGAGCCTGCATGTGATTTAGTCCAGACAAACGGAGAATGCGGCAGGTTGGTGTCGCGTCAGGAACACAAGTACAAATTGGAAGTTTCTTTACAGGTGAACAAGTGAACAAAGGTTAGAGGAACCCTCCTGCTGTAGCCCAGAGTCATTTCTGTTTAATACCATTCCGTGTGTTCGAAGGCGGGCGTGAATCATATACATGTAGTAGATTTGTTTCAGTGCCTGTGACTCATGTAGGAAAGTGTTTTGTTACCGTCTGAGACATTGGTACCTCGCATCTTATGCAGTCTAATTGAGAGAACCAAGGACAAACAGTACAAAGGCAGACAGAATGCGGCTGTCACTGCAGAAGAAGAAGAAGAAGTGATAAACTGATTCTGTCTGCAGAAATAAGAACGAGCTTTACACGTATTTTCCTGTTCTGTTTTCTCTCACCAGCCAGAACCTTTTATTTATTTATTTATTTATTTATTTATTTATTTATTTATTTATTCAGCCAGGTAAGTTGATTGAGAACAAACTCTCATTTTCAGCAACAGAATAAAACTATACATGTGTTTACTTGCTTGTGTTGTTTCCAGGGTAATATCTGGGCGTTAATTTGGGGGGTTTGGAAATTGATTTCGGCTTTTTGGGTTCATGTTTCTTTGACGTTTTTCACTTGTTTTGGTTTGGCCCTGATAACTTTCAAAAAAGAGTTGGCCCCTGGTCACTGAGTGAAGTCCAGTTCAGACTCTTCTAATTCAAGCTGCATTCTCAGGTGGAAGAAACTGCAGATCAAACCCAGAAAGTGGGAAACACTTGACAGTACAGGTTAAAAACAACATCAGTGTAAAGAATGTTTTCTATACCATAATGACGGTCGTTGTTCTACTTCTGAGTTCTATGTTAGATTAAAATAGTATTTCTTGTGACGCTTCACTTTATTTTCTAAAACTGTTTTGTAATCATCCACAGACATCGGTCCTACAACATCTTGATTATCTTAATCTGGGGCCAAGAGGGATGGAGGCAGAAGTCTGCAATCCGGGCATAGCGATGGATTCAGGTAACCCTTTGCTAAAAGCAGTTTTCCTCAGACGACTGAGGCTCACCAGGCTGCTTTTAGAGGGTGGTGCATACATCAATGAGAGTGACGGCCAAGGCCAGACACCCTTAATGGTGGCTTGTCGGACCAAGCATGTCGACTCCCAGAGTGCCAGTCGGGTTAAGCTGATCCAATTTCTCTTGGAGAGAGGAGCAGATCCAAACATTCAGGATAAGGAAGGACGCTCTGCGTTGATGCACGCCTGCCGGGATCAGGCTGGTCCCGAGGTGGTGTCTTTGCTCCTGGCCAGCGGAGCTGACATCAGCTTAGAGGACCAGTCCGGAACGTCGGCATTGGTCTACGCGGTCGTGGCCGGAGACTGGAAGGTACTGAAGCTTTTGCTCGACACATGCAAGGCAAAGGGGAAGGAGGTGATCATCATAACCACTGACAAGTTTCCAAATAGAAACCTGTCAGCCAAGCAGTACCTAAGCATGCCTGTAGCCGATCCCGTCAATGAGACCGATCCGATGACAGCAGCGCCTCCTGCGTCTCCCTCTGAAATACAGCTGATCACCTCCCCGCAGTGCACGTCCTCCTCTTTATGTCCCCCCAAGCAAGTGTTTTCTTTTAAGGAAGGACAGATCTGCGGTGCCAGCTCCCATCCGTGTTCGCCGTCTCGGTTTCGAGGACTCGGTCAAGCAACGCCTGGCGGACTGCAGCAACCTCTACAGAGACTGAACTCCGAGCCCTGGTTAAAGATTCCAGCATCTCTGCTTTCTGAACCACGCCAGGCAACTTTTAACCAGACCGAAGATATTTCCTTTACAGTTCCCAACCTGGAGAGGGACAGCAGCAATAGCCTCAAAAGCTTCAGACATTATGGAAGAAGATTAGCAAAGGATAGAAGCATAGAAGATGGCAAGAATGACTGTAGTGAACATGAAGGAGACATGATTTCTTTATCAGGTCTGCTTTCGTCCCACTCTGCCTCTCACCCCAACCTGCACTCTGGAACTCATGGCACTGACCCAGCCGCCGGTTCTTCAGCTCTCTGTAGTGCCAGCAACCTTAGTGCGACCTTTCACAGCACGGCCTCATCCAGCCTTAATCATGTCATACAGACACACAAGCTGAGCGCAGACATCTACGGCTCCGACCCACAGCTAGCTGTGGATCTTCAAAGTCTCTCCGAAGAACAGAGAGACAAAGCCCCGTTGGATGGCAAGAAACTGGCGCCGATGCGTTGCTCGACCACCATGGGCTCCAGGGACTCCCTGAAAGGCCATAGCAAGAGAGTCTTCTCTTTGTATGAGCGCCGGGGGTCTGGGACGTTCCTGCTGGATCACAACCATCAGGCCAGGCCAAGATCTCTGCCACCGTTGACCAAAAACCCCAGCATCAACGTTGCTAGTAACAGTTTGGGCAACGGAAGCGGTTTCTCCGAAAAAGAGCTTGGTCAGAAGGGTTTCCTGCCCAGCGCCCCACCTGGACAACCCAAGGAACTGACCCGGAGGATGCTGCTGAGGAGACACTCGATGCAGACCGAACAGTTCAAAAGCTCCGTCTGAAAGGGGAAGGGAGAGTTCACTGTGTTCTAGGTGGCTTCCGTTGGGAAATCATTGGGAAATTTGTCACGATAAAAATAAATGAAAAAAAACAAAGTATACACCCTGTTGCAGATTGAAAGACAAGCTAATCTTGACCCAATATGTTCAGCATTGATTTCCAATGAATGTCTGTTTTATTAATGGAAATGGAATAAACCAACCCTCTAAGCCAGAACCTGGTTGACCCGCCCTAATGAACAACAACGAGAAAATCCTGAAGAAGATCATTGACACTGGAACTTGAGCTCAAGCGTTTTGTGTGAAAACACATCTTTACTTTTTGGTTTTTAAGTTTCAGTGATGCCTTAACGTTCTGATATCATCTTCATGTGCTTATTTTCATAAACGTTCGTTATCTCAACCTCATTTTTGTTTTAATCCTATCTTAATTTACCTCTGTTTTACCCCATCCCTCTTTGTTTTCTTGTTTGACATTCATTTCTTATTTCTGCTCATTTCAACTTGTTGCACCACCGTTCTCCAGTTCTTCTTCACAGCACTGTACCTCAGTGACAGTCCAGCGCCAGGATGTGCTGTGTTGTTTGTTGCTTCAGGTTCTGTCCGCTCTGTTCCAGGTATGTTGTAAAAATGATACTTTGTGCTCTTTGTGTGCCTCTCATCCACATCGAGATAGACTTTGGGGGATACCTTAAAAAAAAAAACAACTAAAAAATCAGTCTACCAATGTAGACAAGTAGAGATTTTGGAAATGCTAAAATACCAGCCTAGTTCATTCTCTCTCACCATCTGTGCTTAAAATAAAAAACTAGCGGTGGAGCCGTTTGTAGAGGCTTTCCCAATATTTCCCACTTCCATATTGTTCCATGAAACCTTCAAGCATGAGCTGAAAGGCTTAAACTCTGTCTGTAATAACTGATGTATCACTGTGAGCTTGATGGAAAGTCAATAAATCCTCAGAGCGGAGGAAGGTTCCAGTTTCAGCAGACTTTACTATTTAAAACTTGGCTTTATTTTTTTTCTTTGCTTTCAACCAAACAACTTGAACGTATAGTTTGCTCTCGTTTTGATGTCCGGAAACTAGTGGAGGAATGACGTCGTTTTTCTGCCCTGGTCTTGTATAAAAGGCTTCAGCACAACTTTCCAAAGAAGAGACAACCCGGAATCAAAGCCTGAGTTCAAGCCTGGATTTACAATTTGACCTTCAAAAGTTACAAAAGCAAACAGACACACTGATGGAGATGTGTGAGGATCAGCAAAACGAATGGCAGTTATGCCCCCTTGTGGCAATAATGACCGATGAGTCACAAGGCACCGATTCACACTGGATGTCAATACTAATGCTATGAAATGTCTGCTGTCAAAAAAAAAACAGAAAAAAAAAATTCTTCATATTAATGTTTAAAAATTCTTTGTGAAATTCTGTTCCTGACTGCAAATGTTTAAAATGTTTGTTGCTCAGTTGAAAAAAAAAAAGAAAAAAGAAAAGAAAAGAACGTGTTCAATAAAAGATTTTATTCAGATAAAAATGTATCACAGATCATTGCAAAATACACCACAGGGTAGGAAACATGCTAATATTCCAAACTGTGTGCAAGAGAACAAAATCACAACCCGCATATTTACAGTCATTTTACAGTGAAACAGTGATGAAAAATAAATCGGCTGACATCAGTTCAGTGTAGGGCAAATTGGGGGTGCTTTGGGGGGGGGAAGACAGTATGGATGAATGAAAAAAAAAAAAAAAAAACAGTTACACAAAAGTGTTTTGCTGCAACCTGAAGTTTGAAAACAAAATGTTTGAGTAGGTTTATGTCTGGTTGAATGATGTGTGTGTCCAGTTGATTTATTTATTTTTTTCATTTTTGGGGGGATTTAATTGTAATCCATAGGAAAGGGGAGGGGGGACAGGAGGAGGACCTTTGAGAACCACTGGTGTAGGGGAACCTACTAAAACCAAACATTATTTTTCATTTTCTTTTCACTTCAAGGACAAGTCGCAAAACTCTTCCACTAGACAATAAATATGTGATGATAATCACTCAAAATACAAACGACGACATAATACAAGAAAAAAAAGAAATACAACATGAAAGTTGCATTGAGCAACTTTCATGTTGCTCAATGCAAGTCATCCTAGCTTTGGAGACAAACTTACTGCCAAAAAAAAAAAAACAAAAAAAACAAAAAACAAAAACAACTTGCCAACCCAGATTTACAGCAGTCCTTCCTGCGCTGGACGGGAGTTATTGATCCGGACTCATTCAGGTCCTGCGGTCATAATCACCGACCATCTTCTTGATGTGGTTCAGTTTGTGCTTCAGATATTTACACCTGCGCTTCTTCACCTGGTAATCTGGAGACTGAAGAGACAAAATACAGTTTATATGAGCGAGAAGGCAAGAAAGGAGGAGAAGGCTAAAAATAAAAAATTAAAAAAACAGTCTCCATCAAATATTTTTGGTCCAGTTTCCAGTAGAAAAATCTCCGTACACTTGAATCAAGACGAAACTAACTTTATAGACGAGCTTGTTTTAAGTCCATAAACCAGAATATAAGTTGAGAAAATAAAAAAAAAGGAATTTTGTGATAAAAATTATGAATTTTGAGTGGGAAAAAAAAGAGTCACAATTTGGATTTTCTTTTCCGAAAAGTACTGAATGCTACAGTCATTATGTTTTTATTACAAAACACAGCCTGCAGTTTTCAGAATGAATCCATGTGTACAGAAAAGAAAAGCTTTCGAAGCCCACTTGAACACAACTAAACCCTTTTGAAAGCAATTTCCTCCAGGATGTCAGTCTGTGCGTATTGCACTTCCTGACTGAGCTGGTGGTCATTTGTGAATGGAGACTGGAAGCGGAAATAAGACAATGTCCTGCAGAGGGACATCGAAGCTCTCCTAAACCGTTTAGTGAGATCCTGAATGATGAAACTCACCTTCTTTATTCTCTTCAGCTTGTTGTACTCATCCAGAGTGTCCTGTCAACAAGCAAACACACATTTCAACAAATGAGGCTGAAAACCATTTTATGTGCTTTTCTTTCTCTGCTGTCGTTTTTAACTTCTGTCTAGAAACACTTTGTGTTTCCTTTGGCTGGACGATAAATGCAAGTTGCCTGTCTCAGGAAAGGTCAGCAGGTTTTGGGTTTTGGGAGTTCTCACCAGGAACTGTGGGCTTCCCTCCTCCAGCTCGTCCATCTCTCTGTCCAGATTGGACAGGTCCTTGTTGAGGACGTCCAGCTCCGCCTGCAGGTCTTTGTACTCCAGGTGGTCGCGGTCAAACTCCTGCTTGTAGCTGTTGCGCTGCTGCTCGTTTTCTATCGGCGGGAACTCACTGCGGGACGGAGGACGATTAGATCAACTTGAATCTGTCACACATGAGGGGTCTCAGCTCGGCCGGACATGTCCCGGTTGCCTGGCTACCTGTCGAAGTCGTCGTCGTCCAGCTCGTCCCCAGACGAGTTGTAGTCCGTGTCGTAGTCCTGCCCGTCGACGCGGTGCGGCCGACCTGCGCGCCTCTTTTTGGGCCGCCCCGCTGAGCTTGCCATCTCCGAGCTGCTGCTGCTGTAAGGGGCCCCGTTCTGCAAGGGCCTGTCAACCACAGGTCTGTGAAGCAAAGAATTTAAAACGATTAGTATATTAATATCAGACGCAGGGCCCAGTTTATGAAAAGCAACCTTCCTGTGACGAGAGGAAGCAAGACCTAAACAAAAGCAGAACTGCAGATGGAGGCAGGGCCGGTCCAAGCCTTTTTGGGGCCCTAAGCAGATTTTCAGTTGGGGGACCCGCATATTGACATGTCAACATATTGATCAGTTATCATGGCTTTTAATTCTAATCTTACGAAAGTAGCAAACAAATAGAAAATGTTTGGATTTTGAGGTGCAGCGTTGCAATAAGCAATAAAAATGAGCTCAATCATTTCCACTCTTATAATTTCTTGAATGGCAGTTTTGCTTACAGAGACATCACAATCCATTTTCGCTGTGGTTCCGCTTGTGTGTGGCTTTTATTTACTGTCGTCGGTTGTTATGATTTAAATCTAAATGGTTGCATAACTCAACTCTTTCTAGACACCGTCATCTTCCCTCGTCAGCACAGAAACATTTCGCATAGTTTCGCAAACGTGACTCATGTCTCAGTTGGTTTTGGTCTCGTGAACTTCGCCTCTGCCGCAAATGCTTGCACTGATTTTCCACTAGCAAGCAAGAATCCCTTCGAATGCACTGTTTTAGTAGCACAAAGTCTGAGTCCTCACTGCGGGGTGTAGCTTATGGGGGGTTTGTCGTAGCTGCTCTCATCATCCAGGTAACTCCTGGAGCCTCTCCGCTTCTCCGAGTAGTCTGGGTAGTCTGCAGCTGGGGCGTCTTCAGGGGGAGCGGACACGTTGTTCACCTTCGAGAGAGATTCAGACGAAAACATGAACATGGGTGAATACGTCTCAAAGTTTTGATGGGTTTTTTTATAGCTAAGTTGCATCTTTTTGTCAACCAAATAAGTACCATTCCTTTGAATGAGACAAAACTGCCTACAAATATCTACAGTAAAAGTCTCTGTGGTTATCAACATGTATATTCAATAAGTGAACAACACCAGTTTGGAGGACGGTCTTGGTTTTGACCTCCGTTAAAGTGAAACCTCAGGTCTATTGCCTGGACTTTTCTGCAAGTCATGTTGCCAACAATCAGATCCTGTTTTGTGCACAGCTGCAAAACTATTTCAGCCTGTGAGCTAACAATCAGAGATCTATCCTATGTCCCTTTATTTTACTTGATTTTTTCAAACGTCACAACGTTGCTCAGAGTAATTGAGTCTATTGGTCATTGTTTCACTTCCCCGTCTGTCTGTGTCCCTCTGAGCAAAGCACAGATATCTACAGATGTTTCCTACGAAGTGTTCAGAAAGCAGCTGAAACAATCGGATGATGTTGAAAGCAAAGCTTGGAAAGCAAGGAAACATTTTCTTGACAAATAAGGAAATAAATCAAAAGTAGCTGCAACAGTGATCTTTTTTTACAAGGTGAAACAAGTCATATCAAAACTGACATGTTATTTTTAGCCTGGCATTTCAGCAAGCTGCTTTGTTAAAAAAAAACAAAACAAAAAAAAAAAACATTGTCCAAATCAAGACTGTTGTTTATTGAAGACCACGGCCTTATGAGTCAAGGCAAATACATATTTAGAAAAATATCAATTAAACCTGACTTCCCCAGCATCTGTTCCTAACAAAACTGCTTTGTAACAAATTTCTAATTGATTACATAACATTGGATACATTTTAATATATCTAATAAACCTCCTAAATAACTAATTTTGAAAACTTATGAAGCACTCCAAATATGAGGTTGTCTCACAAAACTTAAAGTGAAACTTTTAAACGCTTTAATGCTCAATCAATTCTATTCTGTATACAGAGAGGCTTTGGATCCGACTTCAGCTACAACTCTTTGTTTTGTTTTTTTCTCATTCAGTAGCAACAGACCATCAAATAAATAATAAAAAACTGACTGTTTGAAACTGGGTGTTACTGCTGAATTTTAGTTTCTGAAGTGGCCACTTTGACAGACACTTGCTTGAGTAAATCCACAGAATTTCTGACATTTCTGGTATGATGCACCTGTATGAACTTGTCCTCTGTTTCATAACGAGGATACACCCATAAAAATAGGAAGCTCACAACCAAAGAGTAGTTGCACTGGATAAGCACTTTTAAACGTGTTCTCACAAAACACCAGTAGAAAAAATGTCACTGGTTCTTAGTATTATGCTGCTATTGTTGTGCTATTGGTCCAACTGCTGAGCGGTATACACCGGGTATACACCAGGAATACACCAGGAATACACCAGAGCAGCAGTCTGACCCGTTTTTTCAGTCGATTCTCTGAAGTGAGCTGAAATACTCGGAGTCGGCAGAACTGAGTGTCATCAAGACTCCCATCAAAAGTGAGTCATGCACTCATGGCTGCTTGCTCCATGATATTATGAAAACACATTTCAAACACATTTGACCATCATGACTCATTGCCAGATGCGAATGCTGACATTGCCAGATGTGAATGCTGACATTTCAAACGGCAGAAACCTTCGCGGCAGAACGTCGACTCCTCTGACTGAAACTGTCTGAACGCCACGCCTTGAAACTGCAGGAGGAAGGACTTTAGACTCCACCTTCTGTACTGTTCATAAACACAAGACTATAGCTAAACTGGTTTTTCCACTTCCTCATCTTCACTTCCTTGATTGCTGAACACCTGAGAGCAGGTTATAGAGAGATTCTTTCTACAGGGAAAGAATCCAAGAACCTCAGCTCACTCTCCTTTGTTCTTAAAGTGTTTCGGTAACTTAGAGGTTCTGCTAAGGCTTAGACGTGTAAAAGTCCAAGGTTTTTAGTCGACTGGACGTTTTCCAGCCAACTAAATAAGCCAAGCAAAGTGCCCAGGTTAAATCGAGCCAATCAAACCTTGAGATGTATTGGACTGCAACGTTGACCGAACCGTCAAGCTCCTGTAGCCGTCGGTCAAAGAATACCCAAAATTTAGATCGGCAGCAGCCAAAACCATTTATGTGTTCATTTTATGTCTGACTGTTGTTTAGCCTCTTAAACTACAGAAAAGACAAGTACCAAGTACTTTTCATCTAGTTTCCAGAGCAAACATTTAAGCACATTGTAAATGAGACAAAACTTTTCAGTAACTTTTCAGCAAGATGTACGACCTTGTTTAAGGTCAGCAATTCCTGAGGATTGATTTTAAAAGTTCACGTTTCACTGGCAGATTATTTCACTTGTAAGATTTTCACCATAATCTGAGTTAAATAATCTGTCAATGAAACTAGTACTTTCTTTTCCTATTTAGCAATATTTAGGAATTATTGACTTTAAACAAGGTTCAATTTATCGTCCAGCAAAATTTGTTACCATGTCAGGTGAACTCACAAGTTAGTTTTATCTTAAAAACGTACCAAGATGATTAGAAACCATCCCAAAACTCCATGTTAAGTTTTTGTGCTTTTGCAGTGTTAGTGGAATGGTTTGTGCCTGGTAAGCAGAAAAAATAAAAAACATTGTTTGCACCCACATCAACTATCCATGGCCACATCTCCATGATGACTCAGCATGAGAAATAAATTGAGAGGATCTCAGTTTTGCATTTGTGATACACAGAGAGCACCTTCAGGTTTCTGTTTTTAAATTTCATTTCATTTTTTATTGCACCAACATGCTTCAGATCTCAATCACATATAAACACCAGAAAAATATGAATGGTGTTTTCAGTTGATTGTATCTATTAAGGGAAAGGCTGTCCAAGCAAACCCATTGGTTCCATTTGAAAATAATTCACATCCCAAATACCCTTGAAAAATCATGGACTGACTGTCATGTTTTATTTTCTTTGGACAAATTTCTCTCATCCACATCTGCTCCTCTGAATCAATCAATTAGAAAGAATCCGTCTTCCAACACAAGATAAGCCAGTGGTTCCCAAAGTGTGAGGCGCGCCCCCTAGCAGGGGCGCAATGACATTGCAGGGGGGCACAGGAAGCGGTATGGATGAATGAAAAAAAAAACAGTTACACAAAAGTGTTTCACTGTAAAGATGGTTTGTAGTTTGTTTTGATGCAACCTGAAGTGTGAAATAAACTTCTGTGGAGTTTGAAAACAAAATATGTGTGTATAGGTTTATGTCTGGTCGAATGATGTGTGTGCCCGGTTGATTTTTTTTTCCTTTTTGGGGGGGATTTTATTGTATTTCATAGGGGGTCCCAGAAAGTATTTTGGTACCACTGAGAAAGGCTAAAAGGATATAGACAAATATAACCCTGATCTAAAGAAATTCAAGAAGAAACAAGAAACAAACTCATTGACAGTGAAAATCTCAAAAGTGTTTTGAAGCAAATCCCAAGGCTTTCAATTCTCAGTCAATCGTGGTGCGAGCCAGTCTCCAAGGCGATAAATCTCCAAGTTACTCCAAGAGAACATCGACGATTCATCAGGGAAGTCACAAAACAATGTCTGAAGCTCCCCAGAGGTCATTGTCAGTGGTGTTAGTTTCAAAGATGCCCAGCTGACATTCAGCAAGAACACATCGTCAATCCAAGAGTTTTGGACTGACGACTAACAAGACTAAGGTCTTGTGATTTGGGTGACGTCCTATAATCAATGGAACCATGAACCATAATATCACTGTCTCACAAAATAATAACACTCATTGTCTAATGGAAGTTCTAACGGGTGGGTTAAGCAGCTTTTAGGTTAAAGGGACAAATACTTTTGCCACATTGAGCACAGCTGGCTTTTTCCACCTAATCAATGAAATAATAATTTTAAAAAATACAAAAAACAATGGGTTTTATTACCTGAAGCATTAAATGGACCAGGGCAGAGCACTGATTCTTACAATCAGATACAAACAGAATCTTTGTCTCTATCTATGTCTTGCTGAGTCATAACAGAGCTGATGTGACGGAAACAAAAACAAGGTATCTGCATTCCAAGCAGAAACTAAATACATTTCCCCTTTTCTAAAAGTAAAACACCTGGAAGTTGATTGGACAGAGAAATGTCAAATGTGTTTTCACAACCTTGTAGGCTGATCTGCCCTCAACTCGCCCATATGGAAGATTTCAAAAAGCAAAGAACGAAGGCCACACTCCATCACTCACCCACGCCTCGACGTCCTCAGGAGGTGCGAGATCATCCACGACTTTGAATTTCTTCCACAAGATGTTCTGTTTTCCATAGTTGTTGATCTTCTGTCGAGTCTTGAGGGCGAAGACGAGCATGATGATCAAAGCTGCGGTCACCATGAAGCCGAACACGACGGCGATGGCCTAGTGGAACGTAAACCACAGAGTGTAAATTTGTTTCACACGCAGGACACGTGTTTCAGGATGGCACCGATGTCGCGAGGGTTTACCTCCTGTGGTTCCACCACGCAGTAGTGGTAAAGGTACTGGTTCTGAAGCAGTCCTGTCATCTGTTGTTGTTGATATGGAGCACACAGAGCCGCAATCTGGCTGCCGTAAACTGTGGAGGCCTGGGATGAGGGGTTTATTGCCACCAAGTACACTATGGTGGCTACGAGCATCAACAGTGCCAGGATGGGGCAGATGATCAACACGGCCAGGTAGAACTTCCTGCTCTGAGACAGGCTCTGATGAGACACGATGATGATAAAGACGATCAAGGAGAAGATGAAGGAAAAGGCGGCCATTGTGATCATAAACCCTTTCCCAGCCCGGGGGTCATTGTAGTTTCCCCCAATTGAGCCGTAGCCATAACTGTTTCCGGCTCCATAGTAGTTTGATCCTCCATAACCTCCCTGTCCATACATCCCTCCATAATTTGGGTACATTCCCCCAAAGCCGGACATGGCTCCCTGACTGTCATACGCCAGCGTTGAGGCAACGCAGGCAAAGATGGCCACACACAGCACAAGGACAATGATGGCCATGATTTTAAGGATCCCCGGAGGCGAGGACCAGCGGTAGAAGTGCTGAAACTCATCGTCAGGGATGTAAGAGTAGGCTGACTGAGGAGGTCCATTACTGCAAGTGGAACAAACAAACCACTGTTACAACCCAAACTACAATATTTAGATTTTATTGATAAATGGACAGTGCAGAAAACAAATCTTTTGATTTTGGACCAGATTTCTTATTTGTGTTTTTTTGTTGATCTCTGTTTTGTAAATAAGTTAATACAGTCATAACCATGAGATGTATTTAAAAAGCAGTAATACGTCTTCCTGTTTCTACCCCTTACAGTTCAAACAACAACAATGCTTGTTTTATATTTGTTTGCGATAGATTAGAATAGAATCAGCCTTTACTCTCCAGTAAGTGGGACATTCAGGTGCAACAGCAGCATCAGGTATAAAGATTCTCACAAAAAGTTCTTAAAAGTGTTAAAAGGCAATATATTAAACCAAAAAAAAAAAAAAAAAAAAAAAAAAAAAAAAAAAAAAAAAGATTAGCAATAATAAGAATAATAGTGAAAATTAAAACTGACAGTTAAGTTGTGCTTTTTCTGCTGCAAAATCAACAGTTTCATCAGGGTTTGATGAATATCGACAGGAAAAATGAAACAAAATAAACAACAAAAACCAACAACTTACTATCTATTATCCTCTTCATAGGGAGGGGGGCTCCCATTGGGTTTGGAGGACATATCTGTTTGCTCCACTCAACAGTCCCAATCAGAACAACCTGCGAGAAGGTTTCCTGTTAGACTGGATACACCAAACCCATGTTGTGCCAATAAGGAAAAGCAAGACCAAACAGTTCATGTCTAAACCTTGTGGCAGTTATTGAACAAAATTGTTTTTGTCTCCCATTAAAGGTTATTTACAGTACCTTAATTGAATTGAAGCTGAATCCACAGATATGCCGCTGGGCCTTTTTTTTCTTTTTTTTACCACTAAATCCAAAGACAGAACTGAGAATGTCCCTGTCCCTGTTGCTGTCAGGCTCCTCTGCTCCAAAATGTCTCTAGTGAAACTGCAGCTGCTGCTGAAAACAACCTGGACCACACCCAGAGCCCAGCTCCCTGGGAGCTTAGCTCCGCCCCTCCCGACAGGTGTCTCTCTGCTGAACCAGACCGGATGTTCATATTTTGACATGCAAGGTGAGAGTAGTAACACAGACAGAACAGAATGTTTACCTGCTGTGGAGGCACAAGAACCTGGTTCGGCAGGCAGGGCCGGCCCAAGCCTGAGGGCCGGACCAAGCCTGAGGGCCGGACCAAGCCTGAGGGCCGGACCAAGCCTGAGGGCCGGACCAAGCCTGAGGGCCGGACCAAGCCTGAGGGCCGGCCCAAGCCTGAGGGCCGGACCAAGCCTGAGGGCCGGACCAAGCCTGAGGGCCGGACCAAGCCTGAGGGCCGGACCAAGCCTGAGGGCCGGCCTTTAGGCCCTAAGTGAAATGTGGTTTTGCTAACAATGTGGACCGGCCGTAATCAGCAGTCCGATCGCCCCACTGTGCCCAACTGAGAATGTGGACCGGTACCGGTACTGGACTGATTCTGAACCTTCAAATGATTTTAACAGAAGTTCCACATTACTGTACTTAGTAAAAATAATGTTTGTTTTAGCCACAGAATGATTATGGACTGACGAGACTAAGGCCGAACTCTTCGTTCGGCGTGTGTCTCGTTACATCTGGTGTGTAAAGTAACAGCACGTTTCAGAAAAAGAACAGTGAAACATGGTGGTGGCAGTATGATGGTCCGGGTCCGTTTTGCTGCTTCAGGACCTCAAAGAGTTGCTGTGATAAGTGAAACCTCAAATTCTGCCATCAACCAAATCATCTCAAAGGAGAACTGCTGTGACATAACCTTAAAAAGGATGGAAATCCCTCCAGTGTGTCTGAATTGGAACAATTCTGCAAAGACGTTTCAGCAGCTAAAATTTCTCCACAGCTGGAAAGCACTTCTGACCCTCGACTGGAGTTGTTGCTGCTAAACGTGGCTCAGCCAGTTAGTAGCTTTAGGGGGGAATTGCTTTTTCACACAGAGCCATAGAGGTTTGGATTATTTTTGTCTCTTCATAAACGCCATTTAAAGCTGCAGTTAGTGTAGAACTCAGATAAACTGTCTGAGCAAGACCCAACTTGTCCTCTGAACGTTATGTAATAGAAAACAGCAGCTGAGAATGGAGCAAAGCTCAGTGTCTCACCACATAAATATTTAGGTTGCACATCAAGGGAGAATTTGAATTCTTCTTTCAGTGTGTTGTTTTCTATTTGAAGCCATTTGAGTCGCCTCCTGCTGGCCATTGCAGAAAACGCAGGAACTTTAACATTAGCCTTCAACATCCATCCCTTTTACAACCCATCCTGTTTCTGTGTCTCATGCAGGACACAAGATGATGGAAAGAAGTGATAGAGGCAAAGAGAGCCAACAAAAACAATTCCACTCGATTCCATTTGATTTATTATTCTGCAACAGAAAAGCTGTTTTGCAATTACCAGACACCTCAGCTTACACAAGACGGAAAAATGATCTTCTTAGCCAACCTAATATGCTCATGTTGCACATTATTCCACAACAATGTTACTTAAACATTTTTTTATTTAAAACCCTCCTGTGGTCTTCAGGCGGTCTTGCACTTTTACAAGGTTTTTGTGCGTGTGTGTGCGCATGTGATTCCGGGAACTGACGGTCTGACGGAACAATCCCGTTTCCCAGCTGTCCGACCGCGAGATCGGCTGTCGTGCTCAGACCACATGAGCGTTAAACACATTAAAGCTGCACCGATTTTTGAATGATACTTAAAATAGAAATTAAATAGTTTTCCATGAATATTTGTCCATTAGATTGATAAACAACAACAAAAACAGCAGGACTGCATCTAAAGGTATCACATGGTTACTTTAATTAGAGAACCACACATTATCGTCACATAGTTATATTTTCATTTAAACTATAGATGCTTAAAATGTTGAACAGAAATCTAGATAAGCATGATACTTTTCAGTGAAAAAGAAAACATTATTTTTATTCTCTGAAATGGTAGAACAGCATTAGACATCACATGTCTAATGTGATGCATATATATATATATATATATATATATATATATATATATATATATATATATATATATATATATATATATATATATTTATATATATATATATATATATATATATATATATATATATATATATATATATATATATCTCACATTAAAAGACAGAGATGCATTAAAAAAAGGAACAGTGTAGCAGTAAAAACAGTCCTCCCAGAAGTTAAAGGTTTTCTGCCAGTTATTTATTTTTTTTTTTAAATAAACACAAACTCTGCCACAGAAATGAAGAGGAGGTGACCAGCAACAGGAATAAGGCGAACATTTTTTTAAAGATCTCCCAGTGATTGAACGCAAACATTTTCACCTGATAGCAGTGCGTTTTGTGAAATTCTATTTTTTAGCTACATTTACAAATCAGTCTTACAGTGTTTATATATACGAATAATTGCATATTCAGACCACATTTAAGCAAAGAGCTTGTGGTTTTTCCTCACCTTTGATCACAGACACACAACACGCGCACAAACACATGGTGCTGGGGTGGACTTTGAAACAAACCAATTCTTCCTATCAGCACCATTTTAGATTATTATACCCTGAGAAAGGCTTTGCCTCAAAACAAGTCAGACTTCACAGCTGCAAATAAAAGCTAAAACCCTCCCCCCCAAGACATTTAAATTAAATGGTTTCTACCTATGAACTTTTCAGTAATTGTTATAGATTACTTTTAATATTCTTTATTTTTCTGTTCATTCTTTGTTTATTCCCATTAGAATTGAACTTTGACATGAATTACAGGAAGGTTGATCTTACTACAATGAAGTTTATTGTGAATTTGGAAACATTGGTGGCCATTTAAGAAATCCTAAGATGAGGATCTACTTTCTCTACGGTCAAAACCTTTTGCACCAGGGAACAAAATCACCAAGATAAAAGTACTCATTTGTTATTATTTTATTATGTTTGTAATAGAAACATTTTATAGTATACTCACACTATAAAATGGTAGAAAAGAAACTAAGACAAGTAGAGATATTTATCTTAGTGAAAGAACAATGTACGATTCAAAAACCTTTTGGGTTGAATGTTTTCTACTTTGTTGATCTAAAAACATATTTTATGGTATTCAGAGAAAAAAAAACTTGCAGTATTTAGTCAAGCTTAATGTAAGGGTATCTTCTCACTCGTACTTACTATTATGTTAAAATGTAAGCAATAAAAACGGGAAGAGATTTGTTTACACCCAATAGTTTTGATTTAAGAAGATATAAATTGGTCACAATGAAAAAAAAAAGTTAAAAAAGGAATGAAATTTACAGAAAGTATGTGCATCAGCACTATATTACACTGCAGGGACAAACTGAAGTAAATGTGAGTATAAAAATAAAGTTTACAGTACCAACTCTATGATCTTTTGCATCACTTGTCTTCCCAGCACAAATAAATCGTGTTTATTATGGGAAGTCAAAATAATTTTATTGGATGGCTGCTATATCTTCTCATATTCAACTTCGCTCATTGAAATCATAAAACAAAATTTTGAATGGGAAAAATCAAGTCCCTATCTCTCCTAATCTGTAATAAATCAGACACTTTGGAGTGCTACCTGACACGGTATCGTTAAATAGAATCTATAGTGTTCACACACGCGCACACATTAAAAGACAGAGATGCATTAAAAAAAAGGAACAGTGTAGCAGTAAAAACAGTCCTCCCAGAAGTTAAAAGTTTTCTGCCAGTTATTTAAAGCAGGACATTTTTAAATAAACACAAACTGCCACAGAAATGAAGAGGAGGTGACCAGCAACAGGGACACACAGTTCAACACACAATTTGTTGAACTGTGTGTAACGTTATTCGGTGTCTGAGCGCGACAGTGCAGTGAAATGTATTTGAATAACTCAATGAGTTGACTGTAGTGAAGTAAAGCTCTGAGAAGTGCTGATGTGGAGATGTTTACCGTTGCATGTAGCCATGGCGACCAGCTGCTTTGAGATCCAATCTGATCATCTTCAGAAATGATGAAGCATGTTTGCCCTTTTCATTTCCCACTTGCAAGCTTTGAAAACGCTTCTGACAGACAACAGATTAAAAAACCAAAACAAGCCTCAGTAGCTGTTAGCGCCTTTTTTCAGTTTGAATCAGGCTTCGTTTCCCTCTTCAGTCCCATGTCCACCACTGGAGTCGCAGCTCTAGCTTTAGCTGTATCCGTCGTTCCACTCCATGACTTTGTCATATTCCTGTATCCTCTGCTTGATGTGCGACAGTTTGCTCTTCAGATACTCGCAACGCTCCTTCTTCTCCAGGAAAGTCGGATCCTGCAACAGAAACGTGAGTCACAGGGAGATTAAGCTCAATTTTCCTCCTCGTTTCATCTTACAGAAGAAAACCTTGTTCTGTGTGAAGATGGGAATCTGATACGTCTTCGTTCCCTGAGCTGCAGAACTTAGTTGTCCAGTTAAAAAGCAAGCAGGAATCCATATTGTTCTGTTACAAGCTCAGTGGCTTTAATGAGCTCAGGGTACCTGCAGGTTTCATTCAGTCAAGTTCAAGACAATTGAGTTGACTATCAAACATGACATTTTAAAAAGATAAAAAACAAACTTCCATCGTAGCTCCTTCACTTTAAGCAAACTACATATTCTGTGTGTGGGAATATGAAGACTTCTTGCAAGTTTATCTGATTTATTTTGTTCACTTGTGTGTTCACTTTTTTGAAGCAGCTGAAAAGTGAAAAATGTTAAAAATGTAAGATTTCTTATGAAGCGAGATCATTTTACGGTCAAACATCACAGAGAGTGACAGACGGACAGCTGCAGCTGTTCTGGGACCTTCACCTGATCTAAATATTTAATTTGTTGAACGACATTAATCTATGTGCAGTGGATCTACAAAATGGGAGTTTCCACTTGCTTCCCTACAGATGAAGTTGTTGATAACCATCCAAACACCACAGAGGAAGAAAGACGCTGAGCTCACATTTTTCTTCCTCTGATACTCCTGCAGGATCCTGTTGATGCGCTCCACCTCCTGCAAACACAGAGGAAGTATTTAGCTCAGGTGAGACGGTGACGGAGTGAAACCGTGTATGGAAATCAGACGCAGGGAGACAGAATTCAGACAGCGGAGCTGAATGGAGCCGATAAGGAATCTGAGGGAGGGGGGAGGAAGAGGAAGTAGAAACAGAGGAAGTGACGGGACGGAGTAATGAGGCGCATTTTGACAGCGCGGACAATGGAAGGAATTTTTCTGAACAAGCAGAGTCTCGTTTGTCAAAACTGATACACAAACACAAAGCAGTCAGAATGAAGCCAACACTGGATTACAGTAGTTCACCATATTTCTCTTTATTTACTGCATCAGTGTTGTGAAAACGTATTTGTCCCCTGAAAGATTTCTTGCTTTGCCTTTTTTTTTTTTTTTTTTTTTTTGATTCCCTACTTCAAAAATATAGAAAGCAGTTTCATACAAAATGAGATAAATAAACACATACAATTCTGTTGTAGATTAATTAATAAAATACTCAATTGAATACATATGTGTGTGTGACCAGTCACCGTTTGGGTGCTGGGGTTCTGAGGCAGACTGTGCATCATGGCGTCCATCTCATCAAACTTCTTCAGCGTGGCCTGCACGTCGGCGTGGATCTCCTTGTACTCTGCGTACTGGTCGTTGAACACGGCCCGGTACTGGTCCCGCTCTTCATCGGACCGGATCGCTGGGTACTTCCTGCAAATAACCCAACATCAGGAACATTGAAAACATGACTGCTTTCATAATCTCACTTCTATTTTTGTTTTTTTCTTTTCAGAGAAACACATGTGTTGCACATCAGTTTTAGCATCGTGCTAACCCGACTGAGGCGATTCAATGCTCAGGGTGTGGAGAAGTGTTGGGTTTCTATTTTAATCAACATTTCAGCTTTATTTAAAGTGTACGGTGACGGTACGGTGGCCTGCAGGTGCAAACACACGAATGATGCGAACTCCAGAACACAAGAACAAAAACAGAAAAATGCTGCAGTTACAGAAAAACACTTTTGACTAAACACTTAATTAACTATAGAATGATGTATGTTAATTGTTACCTCTTACATCATGAAATATTTGTTTTTATTAAAGCTCTCCTCATTAAATATCCAGGTTTTGTTGGCTGCACTGTGCTGCAGCCAACAGCTAATATCATTTCTGCCAAAGTGAGTTTATATTATGTAGGTGGTATGTATTAAAAGGACACCATGCAGGTGGTAGAACCCAGCTGTTTACACGTCTAGTGCAAACTTCCCTTTTCTTTTGTATTTATGGCACTACTTACGCAAGATAATCAGGCACAATGACCGGCTTGGGGATATGTCCCGACGGTATGGCTCCCTGAATGATCTGTGGAGGAAATGGTTTGGGTGCAGCTTGGATGGGAATGACCGAGGAGCCTTGGACCTGCTCTGGGAATCTGGGGGCCGGAGCAGAATCTGGAACCGCCTGAGCAGAGAAAAGCAGCAAAATAAATGCATTAATAGCGATCAAATGCACATCTATGTGTGTGTTTTTTGTTTTGTTTTACAGTCCAAATGAAGGTGTTAGTTTCAAACAACATACTTACAAGTGACTGCACAACATGCATCTCAGAAGGCACCATCTAAATGCACAAACAGGGAAGAAATTTGTCTTTTTTCTTGCAACAAGGTAGTTTAACACATCAAAACTCAACGTGCTGCATAGAATCACTGCAGGATCTAAAGCTACACAATATCAGAAAATCTTTTTGTGACTATAATTTTCAGAATATACTGCAGAACAGCTTGGACTAGGCCATTGTAAACAAGAAAACGCATTGATCCATCTGACCTGTATATTTATGGTGACTGTTCAGCTAAATGTTGAACTTCTGCCACAGTCCCAGGTCATATGCAGACTAATGTTTTCTTCCTGGACTGCCCCATATTTAACTCCATCAAATTTTCAGGGACTAAACTACGACGGCTCATTAGGGCCATGGCAGGAAAAAAAACACAACAAAATGAAAAAAAGCTTTGAGGTTGATCTGTGAAATTTTCTAGGAAAAAACAAAAACAAAAAGAAGAACTTTTCTGAGTGTGAAAATAAAAAAAATTACACACAAAATAACATTTTGTGATTAATATCAAAAATTTTCTAGGACATTTTCTGAGTTTCAAAAGCTCACTTTGACTTTTCACACTCAGAAATTTTATTTTTGTTGTTTGTTTTTAGAAAATTTCTCTGACTAATCTAAAAATTTAAGTTATTTTCCTTGTTTTTTTTTCTAGAAAACTGCTGTATCTTGGACAGAAATTGAATCCTTTTTATTTCTATCAACAATGGCCCTAATGCACCGTTGTACTAATTGCCCCTTTCAAATTTTAACTTGGAGCAATAAAAGTTGCAACATTTAAGTCAATCATAAGTTTTCGGGAATCCCAGGAGGCTTCAGACACTGTTTTAGTTTCCTTATCTGTTACACAGACCACACCTACTCACTCTGGTGTGTGTGTGTGTGTGTGGGTGTGAGTACATTCTGTGACTAGATCTGTCCTAACATCTCTGCAGATCTTGTTGAAATGAACTTCCCCTCCTAACAGGAACAACTCAGTGAGTTCCAGGAATCCCAGGACCTAGCCCAGCTACAGGAACAAAAACACGCGCACATCTGGCTGAGCTCTCACCTGCTGGCCATTCTGCTCCCGGTACCTGCGGGCAGCCTCGTGCCTCCACAGCTTGAGACAAACGATGGCCCCGATCAGATACATGACCATGGTGACGAAGAGGAAGATGATGGCGGCGGTCTGACCGGCTTCTACTCTGCAGAAGGCCCCATTTATTGGGTTGTTGAAGACCGGGTTGAAGCAGAGACCTCCACGATTGGTGTCTGTGACATACACAATGGCTGGGAAAGAAAACACGGTGGAGGTGTTATCATGAGAGAAACTGGGGGGAAATTAAAGGTGCAGTTCCTCTAAAAGTAACAGGTTTATCAACAAACAGCTCTGCAGATCTGGGACTACTAGTTCATCTTTGGAGAAGCCTGACGAGGAACTGAGCTGAGCTCTTTTACTCCAGTGCAAATTAGGGTCGGGACTTTAACTCTAATTTCCTTTAATTATGTGTATTTTATCATTATCATGTATTTTATCATGCTAAACACATTAATCCACCAAATCACTTTTTTCAAATAACTCGAAAAATTTACAGAACACACTACACTTGAACTGGGAGATATTTTAAATGTCTAAATGTCTAATTGATAAAAAACACAACCGGAACAAAGAATAAAATGAATTATTATGGACTAAGATGAAAAACTGCCCCTTCAAAAATATTAATCGTCAGAATGGAAATCCTTCACGGTACCTCATTTTAATTTATCGTGATTAATTAACACCGTCTCTATATGCAGCAACTTTTCAGACTGGTCAGAAAACTGCTATTGGTGCACCACTAATCAAAATAAAATCTGTTTAAAGTACTGACTAAAATCACACTAAAACACTATCATGGTTCCAAAATTCACTTCTATTAAGACCAAAAAACCTGGAATTGAAAGAAAATAAAAATAAAAACACTAGACGTGTTACCCAGGTTAAACCCACCTCCTGCCATGTACAGTATGGCCAGAGCCAGGTTTAACACAAACTCGGTCAGAGGCCACCAGTTGGAGTCTAGCAGGATGGTGCGGTAGTACATGGTCATCCCCAGCACCAGCAGGATCACAGTCACCAACCAGGCCAGTCCCACCACCACCAGCACGAACGGAGTCTTGGGTCCGGTGTAGAACGATCCATACATTCCTCCGTATCCTCCTCCAAAACCTCCTCCAGGAGAAGAGTAGCCGAACATGTTGTACCACTCATTGTCTTTGTGGACGTAAGCGCAGACGCAGGCGAACACAGCGGCCCCCAGCAGCAGCTCCACGCAGCCCAGGATCCTCAGCAGCCCCGCCCACGACTTCATGTAGCCATAACGCTGGTGGTACTCCTCCACCCGCTCGCTGTAGGTCAGAGCTGTGTGCTGCGTGCGGCCCGACACCGACCCATGAGCGTCCTGTCCGTTTAAAAGCTCCTTGCCGGAGTTGTAGCTGCTCCCAAAGCCGCCGTATTGGTCTCGGAAGGACCCGTGGAGGGATGGGGAGTGTGGCGGGGAGCAACGCACCCCCTCGGTGGTGCTGTTGTTGTTGTTGCTGGAGGACTCGGGCATGGACCAAGCCTTCTTGCTGCTGCGGTTGCTCCCTCGGAAGAAGTTCTTCCAGGAGTCAGGGATGAACCGGTGGACCGGCTTGATGTCGATGGCGGGATCCGGCTCCGGGTCGGTGTCCTCCTCGCTCTCGCTGGGGTCGAACTCGGGGCCGACAGGGGGCTGGTCCGGCAGAGGCGGAGGAGGAAGAGGGTCGGCGCTCTTGGCCAGATGGGGGGCCCTCTGCTCCTTCAGGGGCTGCAGGTCGTACGACTCGGCCAGGGGTAAGGACTCATGGGGAACCTGGTCATAAAGCGGCGACTGGCGGACACGCTCAGTGCGTCCGTGGTAACCTCCTCCATAGGACATGAGGATGCTGATGGTCCCTGGAAACATCCACACAAAAATGAAGAGGTTGTGCTGAAAAATCTTTGACACAAACTAGGGCCAGGCAACATGGACTGAACGATTTATCATGATATATCACTGGGAAATCTTTGTGATATTATTGTAATCGTATTTTCAAATGTATTGCTATCGAGTGATACGCCTTTATTGAGCAAATAATGGAGAAAAATAGTAAAACTAATAGTCCTGACAGCTCAGACTGTTTTAGGGGCTTTTAACCATAAAAATTGGAATTCATTGGGACAACAATAAACCAAAATTGTATTGTGATAAGAAATGTATCACAATAAATAAGAAACAATATGATGAACACCCACATCTCCTACAAACACAAAAATCTTTCAGTTCAGTTGTTATTTTTAAGAGATTTTTGGAGAAAAGTGACTGGTTTTATTGTTGATCTGAGCGTCTTTATTTAGGTTTTAGTTTGTTTACCACTGTCAGTTTCAGTGTGGTCTCCTCCGTTTTCCTCTTTCCAGTCATTCTCTGTCATTTGCATAAAATTTGCTTTTTGCATGTTTGTTTTTTTGTGTACTAAGACAAAAGAGAATCCAATACAAAGAAAGTCTGTTGGCACCTCTGATAAAAACCTTAAAATAAGAAATAATTTAATTTATTAAATTAAAAAAACTATTTATCTCAAAGGAAAATTACATGTCTTATCTAATCTCATCTTGAAGGATTTGTGATTGATGGTAGGTAGTGCTCCGGGCTCTCCAGTAGCATTCAGTCCTACAACGAGTCTGAAGAGGCCTCTGACTGAAGAAAGTTGCAGTATGAAAACTCACAACTATACCTGACCTGCTAACAGCTCAATATCAGGGCAGCAGAGACAATATTTCACAGCTACATGTCCCGTATGATGCCATCAGTTGTTGCCAAACTGCTAATCTATCACATCAGCTTTTGCTGATCCTTTTTAAATCTGTCTGGTTTGATGTTTGTCTTTGTAATTATCACTTATCATGTTACTTGCTACTGCTTGAGGCAGTTTTAAGCCTTTTTGACTGTGGCAACTCTTGATGAAGTCTAACTCCAAAAGCTGTCAGTGTGATTGAAATTGTTACGTTTCAAGCTAATTTCCTCCTTACAGCATCAATCAACACTACATGCATTTTACAGTAGGATTGAATGAAATGATTACATATTGTTTAGCAGTGGAGTTCCACTACTGAACACAGCTGACGTAGTGAAGAAGATCTTGTATTATTATGTGGAGGCATTATTTTTCATGCAGTCTGTTTCTGTGAAGACCTTGCAGAATGTAGTAACATTTGTGGTACATTTTAAATATATATTTTTAATCATCACAATAATTAGAAAAATAATTCATTTTTATTGATTATTAATAAATAAGCCTGTCACAATTAGCTATCAAATAATAACATGATAAGTTGAAATGAGCTCAATAATTTCCACTTTGATGATTGATATTTTTTGAAGAGTAATTTTGATTACAGAGAATTGATAAGCCATTTCATTTGTGTGTTTGGTTGTGTGTGTGTGTGTGTTTGTTTCCGTTTCATTAATTGTTTTTGGTTGTGTTTTATTTTGGATATTGAAAATATCTTACAGCTTGAGTGTTAAGTGTTCTTCACAAAGTTAATGATTATTGGTCTTAGAGAGCAAATTTACATCATTATGCCATTATCAATATATCAGCTTAAAATGGTCACATAATAATATTATCATGTATCACAATAATTAATGGAAAAATTTGCTGTCCAGCAAAATCTGTTACGGTGACAGGCCAAGTGGTAAGTCTTGTCCCTATAAATGCATTTATCTACTGACGTAAAAGATTTAACAACTGAAATTAATATCACAACAGGACAGGAAAATAAGTAGGAAATATGAGAAGAAGAAACCACTGGATGAAGACGAAATACCAATCATTCTTGCAGAAACTCTGGAGTAATCAACACAGCTGCTAAGAATCACCACAGAAAACACCCTTCAGCCAAAAGCCCTCATGAGTGAAGATTTGTCCCTCCATGCAAGATGGGACAAGAATGCATTTTTGTGCTGCAGCTAAATAAAAAGAACTGAATTCCCACGGTGCTGTTGGAATTGCCACGCATCGATTCCAGGAATGTTGCACTTACCGCTGGCTTCAGGAATCAGCACAAAAATACATTCTATACAACCAATCAGACGAGTCCGGAGTATGAAGAGGGTAAAAAAAAAACAACAAAAAAACAAAGAAGGAGCTTCAATACCTCTTTCACACGCAGTCACTCAACACGACTTACATTGGCTTGCAGGTCAGAATGCAAACCTTGTATGAACGCAGAATCACCTGTAGAGACAAACACGCACAAATGAAGGCAGAAAATACAAACACTGACACATCTGTGCCTCTGATGCACTTGGATGTTCATTGTGCTCTGTCCAGGTCTGCACATGATGATGGCTATTAGCTTTGGTTCAAACCAAGCATGACACTGAGGATTTAAGTGGTTGTTCACACTATAGAAATGCTGATCAATAAAATAAAACTGATTGACTGCTGTTCGGATAAAAACGATTTGTGACATCACAAGAGTAAATCATTTACCAAATAGTATTTTTTTTTTTACTTATTGAACCTTGAAGCAAATGATGTACAGTCAACTCCAGGAACAGCAGCAGTCTTCTGAAAAATAAAAAAAAGAAAACAATCTAAAAAAAAGTGTACAATACTGGATTGAAACAACTTTTTCCACTTCCTGTACCGATGCAGATGTCTGAGGTTTAGTATCGGCCGATACAGAAAAACAGTTGAATTGACTTAATTCTTTTTTTTAAGCTCAGACAAAAATGAAATGAATTACAAATTTCTTTGATAACTTTGCAATCAGTACAGCACATTTAAACACACAGACAAGCCTGGCCACACATGTAAAAACAACTTTCATTTGTTCAGTCAGTGCAGTTAGGAGAACAGCTAATGTTTAATAAATAGTAAATAATTGGAGCCTGACAAAAACAATAAGCGGATTAACTCAGGCAAACATGCAAAAACCTCCTTTCAAACGATTCAGAAAATGCAGTTAGGAATTTTAAATATAATGTAAAACCAGCAATAAAGTATGACGTCGCTTAGAGCATAAAGCATAGAATTGGACTAAATAGATCTGCCCTTAATATCAGATCTACATCTCTGAAACAACACTCTGGATGCACATTATGACCAGATATTGTCATTCCATCGTATCAACAGATGACGTCGAGATCGAAAGAGCGTCAAAATTACTTCACAGCATATCAGCTGTGGTTGAAAAGCTTTATGTTACTTTATGACAACTACCCACTTGAAATGGTTAGTGTGACAGGGGGAAGCATAGTCTGTTACAAATCAATGTTACAATATGTTTGCATGATTAATTTCATGCAAACATATGAAATTAATCATGCATGTCCGTAGAAGTTGGACATGATTCCACCCATCTACCTGTGTTTCCACCTGTGTTTTGCTAATATGGTCAGACTATCTATTGTTACTTATTTCTAGTGAACATATGGATATTTCAGCATTTCATACCTATAAAATATATCTGTGCACTTTGCTCACACACAAGAAAAACAGTTGTTTTCCAGCCAAAACCTTTCACGGCTTTTCTAACACATCTGTTCTTCCACTAAACTTTTAATGGATCGAGCTTCTTCGCTGTTTTTTTAAATGAGAAAATATTCTAATTTGTCTAAAAGCTGAATCTTGGGCTTTCACGGAATGTATTTTCATCAACATAACAAAAGTAAATGAAAACGTCAACTTTATAACCATAGGAGTTTCACCTTTTCGACTGGAATTGATATTGCCACCTGTATTGAACAGGAACATGTATAATCTTACATAACTTTAAAATATGATCAATGCAAAACTTAAGTTTAAACTCCGCCACCCCTCCTTTTAATAATCTTTTAGAATGATACAAATATTTTTAATAATTGAACTCCCATAGTGATACAGAAATGAAGTAGTAGTATAGAAATGCAGCTTATGGTTATTTTTCCAAGCAAATAGAATAAAAATTTTGCAAAACTTCCAAATTTCTCCCAGAAACACAAAGCAGGAAAAAAAGCCCAACATGCTTCTGTTTCCAGAATAATCAGCAGGGTGTGCAGCAGAGGAGGCCTGTGATAACAAATAAACCTGAAACTCTGGAGGAGTTTAAAGTCGGCTGGACTCTTTCTAAGCTGCGTGTTTTTAACTTACGACGTTTAATGTCTGTTTTCTTGATTAGTAGGCGTTATGTTTTAACTTCGGCTAATTTTATAGCGTTTACCAGGTAAAAAGGGCGGCGGAGGAGCGAATTTCACTCGAAGTGGCTACGAATAAACTCGGCGTCATTTTTACAGTTGACTTTTGACTTTTCAACAAAAAAGCCTCTTTGTTTGTGTCTTCCGGCGCGCGCCCCTCCGCGTCGGAAAGAACCGTGAAGGTCTCCTACCTTGTTCACTGTGCTTCGGTCCCCACTTCTTGTTTCTCCCATTTCAGGAACATTAAACCGCAGGTTTCTCTTGACGGAGACCACGTGACCCGCCCATCCCTTTGACGTCACCGCGCAGAGGGGGAAGTTTACCTGTGGCAGTTTCAGCCAGACACCTGAGAGCCGCACACACTCACTCTGTGACTCAATCAGCTGTAAATAAGCTGAAATGTTCCCATATCTGAGCCACAGGAAGAACTCGCACAATGTGTTGTCAGAAATACAAACGAGACAGAGGAACAAACACGACACTAATTTTCTTACGACTTTCTATTGGCCGTCCTTTTGAAAAAAAAAAAAAAAAAATCCACATTTGTAAGATGCCCTTATAGTAGACACCCTGTCAAGATTGTGGTTTAAATATTGATTAACTGATCAGATTAATAGTTATTACAAATATTTATATATTACAACATATATACATTTCATGACCACACTGTGCCATTTTGTACATTTCAAAACAAATATATTAACGGTAAGAGAGAATAAAGCAGTTCCTTGAATGAATGTACAGCTTTGAGATATAAAGACAAAATATTATCTAATTGTGTCACATTCTCTGTATGCAAGCTTCATACTTTAAGAAATGATAGTCAAAAGTAAAATTACTTGATAGAAATTGGAAACTTTCCACAAAATTCTTGAAGGTTTTACTGAAGGCAGCCAGGAACACAAAGTTGACTAAAAAATAAGAGAAAAGGATGGAATCAGGGCCTCAGTGGTAGAGGAAATGCCACAGAAAGAAGCAACAGCTCTCAACGCAGCTGTCCCAGGTTCGCTTCCCAGTCCGGCCCTTCTCCTTGTCAAGCTCCTAATGAATAGAGTTCACTATAGTGCCGAAAAAAGAAAAGAAAAACAAAGGGCCACACTGCAGTGAAAATGTTCACATTTATTGCAGAAATAACTACAGTTTCAGAAAGCAGACAATCTAAAAGGTGCAATGATACATAAATAAACCAAGCAAAACAAACGCACACTGATGTCTACGCAGAAATCTTTATAAGGACATTTATTAATGCCTTTCTGGCATAATACCTTAAAGCTGTGAATCTTATTGCATCTTTTTGTGTGGCATGTAGATGTGGATAACGCCACCAGAATGATCTAGAGGTCAATAACATGTTTTGGAGTGCGAAAAAACACAAATCAGTCCAAAATCTGTCAAGCTGACCCTGATCTGAGTAAGACACCTTAAACATTGTCCCCCAAAACACCCTAAAACTGTTGGTCCTCATGAAGACACCTTTACAGACACACACACACCAAAACAGTAGACATGATGAGTCTCCTTTAGATTTCAAAAACATCTCTCTGATCACAGCAGAGGTGAACACTTCAGGTCAATTTGCAAACACAACAGCAGAAAGACAGCTGCAGAAGTAGACACACACACACACACACACCCACACCTGGCAATGTAACACAGGGCGATACGATACAGCACTCAGACGAAGCGTCAGTACACAGAAATATATTGCATAAAGTCTTTTTCTTCTCAAGTGTTACTACAGCTTTTTCTACCGACGGTAGGATAAATGGCTTGTATCGGGTAATATCATCTTGAGCTCTGTCTTCAAGAGGCTTCATTTAAATGTAAAGACACATAATAATATGAGGAATGTTTTAAAACAGCAAGCACTGATTCTGACAAACTTCACTGGACAGGAAATAAATGTAAAGACAGACCCTGAAAAGCTGAGTCAGTAAGGGAAAAGGAGCACAAAAAAAAAAAGACATTTACAATTAAGGGGTCACTGAAAAACAAATCCAAGAGAATATAACATTAGAAAATCCGAAATTTAAGAGGGTAAACCTGAAAGAAACAAAAGTTGCAAAAACGTTCATTCTTTCCACAATTAGAACTTGTGCTTTTTCATCAGTTCTCCACCTTGCAGTTGTATTTTTAATGCGAGGCCAGTATTTGTCTGTAGACGGAAGAAAAACAACTTTAACATGACAGCTAATGGAACATGATTGCTTTTAGGAAATGTGTTTGGACATCCTGATTTAGCGTATGTGGTATATTTGCAGCTCTTTTATGCCCTTTAGAGAGAGTTGTTCCATAGTAAAGCAGGAGATTGTCAATGACTTTGTAACGGCATAAACTCGTAACAATATGCGTTTAAAAAAACTTTAAACATTTGCTATATTTGTCATGTTGAATACTGTAAGAGAAGCATCTGTAAATCCATCAATATTTCTTCCCAATCATTCCAAACTTCAGTTTTTATTTGCCATATCTTTATCAGGCTAAAACCAAAGGGACTCATTGCATGTAGTTATTTAAAAACATGTCAAACATGTTTGAAATAAGCTTGAATCTTTTTCATTTTTTATTCTGACAATTCCTGTTGCTTGTTTCTATTAGGCAGTGCCACCTGCTTCTTATCTAATAAAAACAATGTAATGACTGCATCAGAGTACTTTCATATTACTGATTTTTCCAAGTATGTAAAACAAATGTGACTGAGTTTTTCCTCGTCTGAGATGGTTTATATTAGAAAACTTGTCCATTTTTCCAACTTCCAACTTAAAAACTTCATAACTTTTAAACATCATTGTTTTTGCTTCAGGTAGAAAAGATGGAAAAAATGTTTAGTTGAAGAAACTCTGAACTGTTGCTGGAACATTATTATTATTTTACCTGTTAGCAATGCCTTTTGATAGTAGTCTTGAAGTAAAAAAAAGCTCTAGCCCAGAGTATTGCTCCTGTCGTCAAAGTCCACTCACTCAGTGTGACTATTTCATCCATTTCTTCTGACATTTCACTAGTGACCTCAGATTTATAATGCTGTAAAGTACACTTGATGCAAAGTGCCACGTTTCTGATGAAACAAATGAAAACCACTGTGACCTGTGCTCTGATAAATATATTCCTGAAATATAACTTCTTAGTGGAACTAATGCTAAAATTATAAGTTTAGGTTTCACAGAGATGCACCACTCAATTGGTCAGCGACCAGAATTGGATCAAAATGGTCAAATAATAATAAAACCTTTTTTCCCCAAATTCAATAAAGGGATCTACTTTAAAGCACTTTGTTTTGAGTTTACTCACAAAGTTGCAACAACATTGCAATTTCTGTTGGGTTTAATACTACCTCAGTCCAAACACTGTCGGCACATTTCCCTGCCATTTTCCAGCTCCAAACATAAACAACAAAAAAGAAAACAGCCATAATTGGAATCGATATTGGCCAGGAAAAGCCTGATCGGTGCATCTCTAATACTCAATTTTTGAGAATTTGCGTTAATATTGATAACGTGAAGTGCCTCACATAGAAAGGTAAAGCAATTCACTGTTGAGTGTTTTAGTGTCACTGTTTTTCTTAATGGCAATACTCTGCAGACATTTCATACCTAAAAAACTGCATCAACCAAATCTACAACATCTGGGCTGAAAACACTTTGGAAAGTGGAAGTAGCGGAAGAGCCCTATAAGTTATGGGTTGGTAAGTTCCTGTAGTGGACAACTGCCTTTTTGAAATGCGCGTCCATCAACACTGACATCAAAACGTGCGACACGAGGACGAAATTCGCAAGCTCCTTAAAACCCTGGTGAACGTAAATGTTAACATGTAACTACGACTGAAAAAGCTGCCTGTGTTCTAACTGTGACTCTACAGTATATATTCTACAGTACACACTACTGTAAAATCACAGCTTATTGTCTTTATATCTTTAACTGACAACAGACTACTGTTAGAATAAATGTGGACTGACTCTTGTAATGATATATATATACTTTATGTATATAACAATTTTTATTCATGTTCTTCTAAATCTACAATACTATCTGGATTGTTTTCATCTCTAAGAATATGCTGATCTATTGCTGATCTATAAAGTGCATTAAAGTGGGTAATAGCACAGCAACAACATGACAACAGTGAAGTTCCTGCTTTGACGAGCAGAAACCGAGTCCCTTTTTGACCTTTTTGACCTCCTTCTCCAAGTGGAAATCTTTAGTGTTTGCTGGTAAACTAACAAAAAACAGCATCAACACAAAAGTTAAAGGGTAATTCAGTAAAGGGTGATTTCTTGACAGATCCCTGTCAAGAAATTCTCTAAAACATACATGGACATTAATATTATAAAATCATAGTGTGCAGAGTAAAACTGGAGGGTTAAAGTGCCCAACTGCTGTCTGGTCAGGTCCTCGGAAACAATTGTCCTACAGATGCTGCTGTGGATTCAGTCAGTGGGAGCGGAGTTCTGCTGGACGGCCCCTCAGTAAGGAATCTGGTTCTGGTAGTACTGCAGCATGTCGTATGTTTTGCTCCTGTTCAAATGAAACGACACACAACAGATGGTAACCCAAAAGGGGAGTTTCATGTTGGCTGTCATTATAACGAACCGGACAGACATTGTTCTGGGGTATCCGCAGGTTTCAGCAAGTCAAATTTAAGACTTAAATTTATGACACTACTGATGCTTTTCTCACCTGCTACTGAGGAAACAACTCTGGATGACTTTTATCATGAATGCTGCTGCTTCTTTCTCACTCATCTGCGGATTAAAACGTCCCCTGAGAAAGAACAAAATGAACATTTATGGAATAATGACACAAAATCTCTACAAGTTTTGACCTACAACACAGATAATTTGCATCTGTGTGAGTTTTACTAACTTAAGAAGTTTGATGGTTTGTCCTCTGAAACATGGCAGCCCTGTATCCAGCATGAGAGTCACGAGGGAAACCACTGCATCCATGTAAGGCCTGTGAAGATAGAAAAAAACGAAAAGGGAACAAAAGGTCAACATCGGCAATAAAACCCAGCTGACAGTATAAAAACAACTTATTAAAATCTGGATGTTTCTTACCGCACAGCCAGATACCCTCTGACACACATCTCCATGAACCATTTGAAGGGCGTAGCCTCCATTTTTCCTCCCATGATCATCACCATCTCGTCAGTCAGCTTGATATCTGGCTCCCAGCCCAGGTTACCGCCTGGGGAGCTCTCAAACATAAAGCCGAAATCTGGATAAAACAAAATCATTTATCCAAAATCACTTTAAAAACACAACATTCAGATGTGACAAATTATTCTGTTGGTCCATGAAAGCTCATCTACACAGAGCGCAAGATCATCGTTCATGAAAGGGAGTTTCACAGGAAGCGGTGACCGTACCAATGTGGATGAGGTGGCCCTTGCTGTCCAACATGATGTTGCCGTTGTGTCTGTCTTTGATCTGCAGCAGGAACAACAGGAGGCTGTAGGCGGCCATGCTGCGGATGAAGTTGTACCGAGCCTGTCAGAGAAGAGGAGAAGAGTTAAATAAAAACTAATCTGTCAAAAAAAAGAAGAAGAAAAAGAAAAAAAATAGAAGACAATAATCAAAACAAAGTCAAATATTTCAAACTCCAGACCTTCTGGAAGGCCAGGGTGGATTCATCGCCGTACTGATTACGGAAATAATCGTACATCCCAAAGTCTGTCTGGCGACCGAGCTGGTCCCTGGATTTGCAGTCTGGGATGCATTCAATTACACCGCACTGAGGAAATGAGCATCAGTCCAAATCAATCAAGTTCTCTAAACGTCATTAGAATTCAGTAGGATGAACTTGTCTTCTGATGAACTTGTCTTCTGACATAAAGACAGAAGTTTTTGTTGCTTTAATTATATCTCATAAATACTGTTCCAACTCAGACAAACAGGAGATCAAAGTCACTGAACTTGAAATGCCAAAAATAACAAAGGACAGATAAATATTTGGTACAAATGCACCGATTTCAAAAATCTGGGTCGATATCCAACACTAATACTAGCGCTGGGTATCAAATCAGATTTGCTCTGTACTGATGTTAAGTCAAACAGAAAGGGCATGTTGATGTTTTTGCATTTTCGGCAAAAGAAGAACTGAATTATTTGTTCATCTACATTATTTAATGTTCTAATATTGAATTCAATAGTCTTAAATGGCTAAATATAAAATCTGAAGAATGTAGAAATTTTTTTTATCCATATTAATTGTTGGAATAATTGATAGAATAATCAACTACTAAAATAATTAGTTGTAAAAACAAAGATAGGTGTGGACTTGAAAAAATAGTATAAGAAAATGTGTTACCCCAGGCGCCGTGGCAACCACTCTGTAGGGAAAGACAAACAGGTCCAGACCCACCAGCTGGAAGATGTTCTTAAACAGCCCAATAATCTGCAGAGCCAACATGTCCTGGAGGACGGAGAGCATCACAGAACAGTCATGTGAAACGTCAGCCACTGCTGATAGTCTGGAGATGTCCGTGTTCAGCTGAACAGACACCAGTACCTGTCTGCAGTCGTCTCCCACTTTAAAGATGGCCGCCTGCCAACAAACCCTGCGCGATCCGTCTGAATTTTCCTCTCCGTCTTCCACAGAGTCGGACGGACAGCGAAGACCCTCCCTCTCCAGTTCACTCACCCCGCAGCGCTTCACCTTAAACTTGGCCAGATAGGGAGCCTTGGCAGCGCTGAACACACACACACACACACACACACACACACACACACACACACACACACACACACACACACACACACACACACACACACACACACACACACACACAGATGAAATACACACAGGAAGCCATGGGTCTGATGAAAACATATTCTGCAACATAAGACATAGTTACCTCTGCATGGGGGTTCCAGACTTGTAGTCGATGTCCAGCACTATGGCTTCTGGATTACTAGGTAGGTAACAACCTGGAAGATGTAAAGAAGACAAATAACTCAGGTTGTCTATGTTCTCATGTTTATTTTTATTCCTGTAGTGTGAGGCAGATCATTTTCCATACTTTCTGTGTGCAGTAGGCCTGTCACGATAACAAATTTTGCTGGACGATAAATTGTAACAGACGTTATTGTGATAAATGATAATATTACTGTTTTGAGAATGTTTTTAAGTGATACAATGATAATGGCATAATAGTAATAATGCAAGAATACCTTCACAAAAGTCAATAGACTTTAAATTGATAAAAACAATTTTAAAAAACACAATACGATTAATTTTGTAATTGACAGGGCCCAATTTTATTTAATTTCTATGGAAAAAGAAATTGTGGAGGGCCCCCTGTTGGTCAGGAGCCCTTGGAATTGTCCTAACTGTCCCCCTTGTCCAGCGCCTCTGGGTAGCATAACTTAATTTATCACTCAGTTTTTAACAGTTATATTTATGGGCTGGCTACGCTGACAACATGCTAAACAATGTCAAAACAACAAGTTAATGGTGGGTAACTACGGCAACCAGTGACAGTTTAGAAGCCCACTGATGTTTTCTGATGTCCGGGTTCGCGCGCATCAGCCGCTCTGAATATCAAATGAAACTGTGACATCACAATGTGACATCACAATATAACTCCAAAAGTAGAATTCTGACATCACCAGCGACTACATAAACTCCTCAGATTGATCTACTTTCATCACAACCTGTTAGCAGCCGTTGTTGATACGTGTCTCTTGAGAATTTATTGAGCAGTTCACAGTAAGACTTTCAACTTTGTTTGGTGCACATTTCTTGTGGAGATTGACATCAAACTTAACACGAAATCTTTACTGAGTTTTTAGAGAAGTGATTTATCTTAGAACCTGAAACAAGCAGAGGTCACAATGCAGTCCAACCAGCCTAGAGTTGAAGAAGTTTCATCCAACAACATTATCGAAAGGGAATTACAGCCACCCAAGCCAACCAAGCACAAGAAGAAGAAGGTGTCATTTGCAGTCTGGTGGGAGCTGTACGCACCTGAGGAGTTAAAGATTTCTGCTGATAATATCAAACAGCAGGACGCTTCACTGGTGGTTGAAAAAGAATCGACTGCCACAACACAGGAGACAGTGGACCAAAAAGGGGACAGACCAACACCTGAGAGTGAGTCCAATGAGAGGAACCAGGTACCATTTAAAACCTGGTCGGAGGAACACGTCCCCATTGACCAGGAGATTTCTGCAGGAAACATTGAAAAGCAGAACGACTCACTGGTCAGTGTAGAAGAGTCTATCGCTAGAGTGCAGGAGACAAATGAAATAGAGAAGGAACAGCCCTCTAAGTCTCAGGAACAGCCACCAAAGACCAGGAAGAACAAAAAGAAAAAGATACCATTTAAAATCTGGTTGGAGAAGCAGGCCTCAGCTGATCTAATTATTTCAGCTGAAGGTGCTGCAACGGAAGACGTTTCACCAGCTACCGAAACAGCATCAATCTCCCTACTGCAAGAGACAATAGATATAGCAGAGAAGGAAGAGTCCTTTAAGTCTTCTGCTCAAAATGTTAATGAGCAAGATACTTCTCTGCCTGAAGAAGGTGGTAATCAGGAAGATTCCTTGAAAAAGCAGATTTGTGCCAAGGAAACACCACTGGTCACTGAACCGGATTTGATCTCCAAAGCAGAGGAGACACTGGACGAGCAAGACAACGAACTTCTTCTTGTGCCACCAACGACCAGGCGCCGCAAGAAGAAAAAGATACCGTTTCATATCTGGTTGGAGAAACAGGCCTCTGCTGATCTCAGGGTTTCATCTGAAAGTTCTGGAACACAAGACGCTTCAACAGTTGCCAACCAGGAATCAATCACTGTAGTGCAGGAGACAGCAGAGAAGGAAGAGTCCTTTGGCTCTTGGGCTCAAAGTGTTAATGACCAAGACACTTGTCTGCCTGAAGAAGGTGGTGACCAGGAACATTCCTTGAAAAAGGAGATTTGCGACAAGGAAACGCCACTGGTCACTGAACAGGATTTAATCTCCAAAGCACAGGAGAGACTGGATCAGCAAGACGACAAACTTCTTCTTGTGCCACCAACGACCAGGGACCACAAGAAGAAAAACATACTGTTTAATACCTGGTTGGCGAAACGGCTCTCTTCTGATCTCAGGGTTTCATCTGAAAGTTCTGGAACACAAGACGCTTCAATTGTTGCCAAACAGGAATCGATCGCCGTAGTGCAGAAGACTACAGAAAAGGAAGAGTCCTTTGGCTCCTGGGCTCAAAGTGTTAATGACCAAGACACTTGTCTGCCTGAAGAATGTGGTGACCAGAAAGATTCCTTGAAAAAGCAGATTTGTGCCAAGGAAACACCACTGGTCATTGAACCGGAATTAATCTCCAAAGCACAGGAGAGACTGGATCACCAAGACGATGAACTTCTTCTTGTGCCACCAACGACCAGGCACCACAATAAGAAAAACATACTGTTTAATACCTGGTTGGCGAAACGGTTCTCTTCTGATCTCAGGGTTTCATCTGCAAGTTCTGGAACACAAGACGCTTCAATTGTTGCCAAACAGGAATCGATCGCCGTAGTGCAGGAGACTACAGAAAAGGAAGAGTCCTTTGGCTCCTGGGCTCAAAGTGTTAATGACCAAGACACTTGTCTGCCTGAAGAATGTGGTGACCAGAAAGATTCCTTGAAAAAGCAGATTTGTGCCAAGGAAACACCACTGGTCATTGAACCGGAATTAATCTCCAAAGCACAGGAGAGACTGGATCACCAAGACGATGAACTTCTTCTTGTGCCCAACGACCAGGCACCACAAAGAAAAAAAACATACCGTTTAATATCTGGTTGGAGAAACGGTTCTCTTCTGATCTCAGGGTTTCATCTGAAAGTTCTGGAACACAAGACGCTTCAATTGTTGCCAAACAGGAATCGATCGCCGTAGTGCAGGAGACTACAGAAAAGGAAGAGTCCTTTGGCTCCTGGGCTCAAAGTGTTAATGACCAAGACACTTGTCTGCCTGAAGAATGTGGTGACCAGAAAGATTCCTTGAAAAAGCAGATTTGTGCCAAGGAAACATCACTGGTCATTGAACCGGAATTAATCTCCAAAGCACAGGAGAGACTGGATCACCAAGACGATGAACTTCTTCTTGTGCCACCAACGACCAGGCACCACAATAAGAAAAACATACTGTTTAATACCTGGTTGGCGAAAACGGTTTCTTCTGATCTCAGGGTTTCATCTGCAAGTTCTGGAACACAAGACGCTTCAATTGTTGCCAAACAGGAATCGATCGCCGTAGTGCAGGAGACTACAGAAAAGGAAGAGTCCTTTGGCTCCTGGGCTCAAAGTGTTAATGACCAAGACACTTGTCTGCCTGAAGAATGTGGTGACCAGAAAGATTCCTTGAAAAAGCAGATTTGTGCCAAGGAAACACCACTGGTCATTGAACCGGAATTAATCTCCAAAGCACAGGAGAGACTGGATCACCAAGACGATGAACTTCTTCTTGTGACACCAACGACCAGGCACCACAAGAAGAAAAACATACCGTTTAATATCTGGTTGGAGAAACGGTTCTCTTCTGATCTCAGGGTTTCATCTGAAAGTTCTGGACCACAAGACGCTTCAATTGTTGCCAAACAGGAATCGATCGCCGTAGTGCAGGAGACGGCAGAAAAGGAAGAGTCCTTTGGCTCTTGGGCTCAAAGTGTTAATGACCAAGACACTTGTCTGCCTGAAGAAGGTGGTGACCAGGAAGATTCCTTGAAAAAGGAGATTTGTACCAAAGAAACACCACTGGTCACTGAACCAGAATTAATCGCCAAATCAGAGGAGAGACTGGAACAGCAAGATGACGAACTTCTTTTTGTACCACCAACGACCAGGCGCCGCAAGAAGAAAAAGATACCGTTTAATATCTGGTTGGAGAAACAGGCCTCTGCTGATCTCAGTGTTTCATCTGAAAGTTCTGGACCACAAGACGCTTCAATTGTTGCCAAACATGAATCGATCGCCGTAGTGCAGGAGACGGCAGAAAAGGAAGAGTCCTTTGGCTCTTGGGCTCAAAGTGTTAATGACCAAGACACTTGTCTGCCTGAAGAAGGTGGTGACCAGGAACATTCCTTGAAAAAGGAGATTTGCGGCACGAAAACGGCACTGATCACTGAACCGGAATTAATCTCCAAAGCACAGGAGAGACTGGATCACCAAGACGATGAACTTCTTCTTGTGCTACCAACGACCAGGCACCACAAGAAGAAAAACATACCGTTTAATATCTGGCTGGAGAAACGGGTCTCTTCTGATCTCAGGGTTTCATCTGAAAGTTCTGGACCACAAGACGCTTCAATTGTTGCCAAACAGGAATCGATCCCCGTAGTGCAGGAGACGGCAGAGAAGGAAGAGTCCTTTGGCTCCTGGGCTCAAAGTGTTATTGACCAAGACACTTGTCTGCCTGAAGAAGGTGGTGACCAGGAAGATTCCTTGAAAAAGGAGATTTGCACCAAAGAAACGCCACTGGTCACTGAACAGGATTTAATCTCCAAAGCACAGGAGAGACTGGATCAGCAAGACGACGAACTTCTTCTTGTGCCACCAACGACCAGGCGCCGCAAGAAGAAAAAGATACCGTTTCATATCTGGTTGGAGAAACAGGCCTCTGCTGATCTCAGGGTTTCATCTGAAAGTTGTGGAACACAAGACGCTTCAACAGTTGCCAACCAGGAATCAATCACTGTAGTGCAGGAGACGGCAGAGAAGGAAGAGTCCTTTGGCTCTTGGGCTCAAAGTGTTAATGACCAAGACACTTGTCTGCCTGAAGAAGGTGGTGACCAGGAAGATTCCTTGAAAAAGGAGATTTGTACCAAAGAAACGCCACTGGTCACTGAACCAGAATTAATCGCCAAAGCAGAGGAGAGACTGGAACAGCAAGATGACGAACTTCTTTTTGTACCACCAACGACCAGGCGCCGCAAGAAGAAAAAGATACCGTTTCATATCTGGTTGGAGAGACAGGCCTCTGCTGATCTCAGAGTTTCATCTGAAAGTTCTGGACTGGAAGACCCTTCAATTGCTGCCAAACAGGAATCGATCGCCGTAGTGCAGGAGACGGCAGAGAAAAAACAGTCCTTTATGTCTTGCTCTGAAAATGTTAGTGAGCAAGACAATTCTCTGCCTCAAGAAGGTGGTGATCAGGAAGATTCCTTGAAAAAGAAGTCTTGTAGAGAAGAACCTGTGATTTTAGCTTCCTTGGAAAAGCAGTGTTATTCCAAGGACCCTGTGATTTCCACATCAAGTCAAGCAAAATGTGCGTGTCAGACCACATCTAAGGAACCTGAATTGGGAAGTATTGAACTACAGAGATACTTAATGAGGCAGTTGGATGAAATGTTTGATGTAAATCGTAAATTAAATGCTAAACTCAAATACTATCAAGATCAGTTGAGGAAAGTACACTCTGAGCAAGGACAAAAAAGGAAATCAACAGGGTGGGGCCACAAGTGGGTTGAGTGATTGGTGTGAATCAGGAAAAGAACTACTGTTGTCAATTGGACATTATAGATGATATTAAAACAGACATCAGTAGTCATGTTCATCCATTGTCAAATCTTTATTTCCAGTTCTAAACAAAAAATAAGAAAACCAAATTTATTCATTAGAGGGACAATTTAGAAAAAGAAAATGTAAACAACATGGAACAAAGAGCCTTTAAGAAGTTTAAACCTATACAAATTGGTAAAAATGCAAGTATATGTAAAAAAAATGTATATATAAATATATATATATATATATATATCTATATATATATATTTATATATATATATATAGATATATAGATATATATATATATATTTATATATATATATATAGATATATAGATATATATATATATGTGTGTATATATATATCTATATATATCTATATATATATAGATATATATACACACATATATATATATATATATATATATATATATATATATATATATATATATATATATATATATATATATATATAGATATATATATAGATATATATATATCTATATATATATAGATATATCTCTCTCTCTCTCTCTATATATATATATATATATAGATAGAGAGATATATCTATATATATATAGATATATAGATATATATATATATATTGATTTAAAGGTAGCTAGATGGGCACATCCAACTACAATTTCTCCCTTTACGAAGGGAGAAATCTTAGCTAGTTGGGCGTTCTAAGACTGTAGCTTGCGATTTCATAACCACTCTTTCTGTAGTGTGTGGTGTGTGGTGTGTAACGGTAGATGGTCATGGTCGCCCGATCTAAATCAGGGGTTTTCGTAGACTGCAAGTGTTAACGCAGCCTGTTGAATGTGACAGGTAGCCAATCAGAAAGCCCGGATTGTCCTCTGTTCTTTCTGAGGGGACATTATGTAGGAGAATCCCAAACAGCTGACATGGCGCAACGCGAAGTCCAGCGGACATTGGAGATGATATGTGGAAACAACATTAACGTTTATTCCACATTTCTGCAAAGAATATAGAAATGACAAGGGGAGGAGTTTATCAATTGCTACCGCAGTTGATGAACCCAGTAAATTTTCAGCTGTTCTTTGTTATCGTGACATAGACTATAATGATTTTCATTCAGTCAGGACTGACACTAGTCACATGCATTGCAGGTAGATTGTAGTAAAGCATTAATTAATGCCTTGTTTTAAAATTAGTTAACTGGACTTGTCACCATTATTTTATGCCCATTGTTGGACACCATTTCCAACAATGCTTGGGTCCCAGAGATGAGTTGGTATCACCACAAGGGTGCACCTACTCCCTTTTTCCTTTGTTGTAGTATTGTGCAGTGAGAACTCGTCTTCCGCGTTGTTGTGGAGGTGATCATCAGAGATGATCACCTCCACATGATGAGGTGCAGAACGATAAACTAACATTACTTTTCTCATGTATGAGACTATAATGTTAGTACCGTGGAGATCTGGCTTTACATGGATGAAGCGAAATGAAGTGAAAGTGTGGAATACTATGACAGTCCCTAATTAAAATGAGGTCAATAGTTTTAATTTATCGAGCGATTAATTGATTTATTGTTTATCACAACAGGCCTAGGCCTGTCGCGATCCATCCCAGAGAGCCGTTAGGCGATAACAGGTTACCTGGCTGCACTTTGATGTCCGACAGCGCTTTGAGACAAGCTCGTTTTCTCTCCTCCCCCTTCGGAACCGGCCTGAAAACAAAAAACACAGACAAAACAGATTCATATTAGCTTCTTAACCATTTTGTAACTTGCCAATTTTCCAGCGAAGAGACTTGGCTGCACTTACTTGATGATGGCGGACACATTGGTGATCTTATTAAAGAAGTCAAACTCTCTTTGGTAGAAGTCTTTGGCCGGACCGGACAGAGAACCCATGATCTCCTCCACCATCTGCTCCAGCAGCTCCCCGATGTCAGCTGCATGGACAAACACGTCAACAAAAGAGCCATGGTGCGACTCTTAAGGTCTGCTTCGGGTGAACGATGTGACTCACGATCTTTCTGGTGTCCCTCCTCGTCCATGAAGATGTTGGTCTTCATGTTCCAGATGAACTGATGGGCCAGAAGCTGAGACTTCTGCGCCGCCCACAGGATGTACTCCCTCACGTAACCCATCTGAACAGAGAGAACGGCTCATACCATCATGCTTTTCCATGATGGTCGAGAAGGTCGCCATATATATGGTCGCCATATATGACGCCATATATGGCGCCATATATGGTCGCCATATATGAAGATGGCGGACGGTGCGGAGTCCGGCACGGGCGCTTCCTTCTCCATTCCTCCCCGAACTAAACCGCAGATCTACAAAACCACTGATGGGAAACTTATAGTAGAGGATGAGTTTTTAAATTTTCTTGTGGTCAAAATCAAGACTATGTGTCAGGAAGAGCTTGTGCTGCTTGCATCAAACACATTTGACTTTGAGTGGATTGAGTCCTCTAGAAAAGTACTGTTTGAACTGTGTTCCAACTCTAAGCAGCGATACATGGCCTTCAAAGGAAACCAGAAAGCTGCAAATGCCATAAAAAGCTGTTTAAAAGTTCTGAATGAGTGTGGGGAAGCTATTCCACGCTTTGTCTCTCACTTCCTGGATGAGCTGCCACCTGTGACGTTCAACAGCCTGGACGTCTCCAACTTACTCAGCAAGATAGAGCGCTTGCAGAGCGAGGTTTGTGCCCTAAAGCATACAGTATCACGCCAAGTGGATGTTGAAGAGAAGTTGCGTGAAGTTACCGCTACCATTGACCGCAGAGTTGCTGCAATGGAACGGCATTTGGTGTCTGGCGGTGGAGGATCCAGCAGTGTCGATGTGCCTGCTCTAGGAATGCCCAACGCTGGAGACATGAAATTGGCTGTGAACGTTTCTGAGGAGGTGGTGGCATGCATGGATTCTGCTGCAACAAACTATGTTACCGCAGATAATGCGGCTTTGCCCGTGAATGGGACCTACACCAACTGTTCCAGGACTACTGACGAGCCTGTTGCGGTGAGTGATAAGCTAAGCTCTGCTGTAGATGCCTGCCAGCTCACCCACATGGAACTTGGTGGTGAAACAAGGCCGACGTAAGAGAACCGAGAGCCATCCAGCTCATCAAAAAGGCCAAACTAAACCTGAGCGCAAAAGACCAGCGCCTATTATTGGCACTGGCGCACAAAGCACCATAAAAGTGGTAAAAACGAAGCTTGCCACTATCTTTGCAACTAGATTTGTGCCAGATCTAGATGACGAGACACTAACGAACTACCTTAAAGAAAAGCTTGGGCGTGATGTTGAGTGCCGGCGTATTGTCACTGGGAACACAAGATATAGTTCTTTTAAAGTCAGTGTGGAGTGTCAGAACGCTGCAGAAGTGTATAACCCAGAGCTGTGGCCAGAGGGTGCGGTGGTGCGCCGCTACTATGAGCCACGGAATAAACCTACAATGTCTGAAGGACCTGGGGTGAGCACCTCTAGTGATTCCAGAAGGATCGATGGGATGGCTGCAGTTACTTTCTCATAGACCAATTCATGCGTGTTATTTCTTACAATTGCCGGGGACTGCGTGTCGTAATACAGCTGGAGATAAAGCACGACGTCTGGTTGTGGATAAACTGTTGCAAGAATGTGAAGTTCTTTGTTTACAAGAGACTTTTTTATCAAACAAGACTTGGAAGTTTGAACTGTATTAATGATTGTTTCTGTGGAGCTGGTGAATCTACTGTGGATCTTTCTATGGGTATAGTGAGGGGTCGAATCGCAGGAGGAGTAGCCATTCTATGGCACAAAAAGCTGGATCCAGTTTTAAATGTCATCAGAACCGGTGTTGACTGGTGTATTGCTGTTCATTTTAAAATCGAAAACAAAGAATTTATCATTATTAATGTTTATACACCATATGAGTGTCCTCAGAATGAAGACATTTATTTGAATAGACTTGCTTTCTTGAGCTCTTTTATTGATGACCATTGTTTTACCTCTGTGTATGTAGTAGGTGATATGAATGCAGATATCTGATGAACATTCCTCATTTGCCAAACATATGCATCAGTTTTGTGATGATAATAGTTTATTACTGTCCAGTCAGCTCCTGCTACCTGCAGAAAGCTATACATATATAAGTGAAGCTTGGCATACAACGTCATGGCTTGACCATTGCATTAGCTCTGCTGATGCCCATGCTGTTGTAAAATCATTAGAAATCCTATATGAGTATTCAATGTCGGATCATGTCCCATTTTTAATGATGTTGGATATTAAAAATCTCCCAGAGTTTAAACGGGGGGCAAATAGTGCTCCTACATTTAAAATTAACTGGTCCACACTCTCTAAAGATGACTTACTCGTATATCGTATGAAAACTGATCTTCTTTTGAGTAAAATAAATCTTCCTCTTCCAGCTATTACGTGCTCAGATGTTAATTGCAGTGATATTTCTCACTGTACTGACCTCCATACTATGTATGATGTCATTGTGGATGCTTTGTACCAGAGCACAAGACCATACCTTTCATACAGAAGGACTAATAGCATCAGGCCAGGCTGGAATAAACATGTGTCAGGATGCCGTGCAGAAGCTAAACAGGCATATAAAATGTGGGTACAGACAGGTAAACCAAGACATGGGACTATCTTATTATAAAAAACTCACCAGTGCAAAGTTTAAATATGCCATTCGATACATCTCCAAATGTGAACAGAATATGAGAGCAGACTCCATGGCTGAAAAACTGCTTTGTAATGACACCACTGGCTTTTGGAATGATGTTAGAGCCTTAAACAGGTCTGCTGCATTACTCCCCAATACCATAGAGGGCATATCTGGGGCTCATATATAGCTGATCTATGGAGACAGCACTATTCTGCCTTATTTAACTGTGTACAAAATGAACCCTATGGACTGGGAAACATTGCTAAGAATGATGTGGTTATAATAACCCCTAGTGAAATTCAGCAGGCTATAGTAAATTTGTGTGAGAATAAAGCAACAGGTTCTGATGGCATTGCAGCAGAACATTTGAAATATGCTAGCCAAAAAGTGTCTGTGCTGCTTGCAATGTGTTTTTCTGGGTTTATGACCCATGGGCAGTTGCCTGATTCCTTACTATCTGTTACCCTTGTGCCAGTAATTAAGGACAAAACTAATAAGGTTGGCAGCCTTGATAACTACAGACCCATAGCTTTGGCTAGTGTGTTATCTAAAGTATTAGAAAAAATTTTGCTTGGTCGGCTTAATCAGTTTTAGTACAACAGATAATCAATTTGGTTTTAAAGCCAAGCTGGGAACGGATTTCTGTATTTACGGCCTGAAAGAAGCTGTAAGAACATACTTAAGGAAAAATTCATCTGTGTTACTTGGGTTTATTGATGCCTCTAAGGCCTTTGATCGTGTTAATCACAATAAGTTATTTGACAAATTAAAAAAGAGGTGTTTCAGATATTATTATACGAATTTTAGTTTACTGGTACTTTAACCAGACAATGCATGTAAAATGGGGAAATAACATCTCTGGTGTTAGTAATGGTGTGCGGCAGGGTGGGCTTCTTTCACCTGCCCTGTTTAACTTGTATATGGATGACCTATCAAAAGAAATGAACCTCTGTAAAACCTGGTGTATGATTGGTGATACTTTGGTCAATCACTTTATATATGCTGATGACCTGGCTGTTCTCTCACCCAGTAGTGCTGGTTTTCAGCAGTTATTGAATATCTGCTCTGATTATGGGTTGAGATTTGATGTGCAGTATAATGCTAAAAAAACTGTTGTACTAGTTTGTAGAACTAAAGCTGACAAACAACTCTCTTTCCCTGATTTTTTTCTATCAGGGCAAAAGTTAGATGTTTGTTCCAAAACTAAGTATCTGGGTCACTACATCACAGACCAGCTCTCTGATGATGATGACATCTATAGGCAGTGTCGCATGTTATACGCCCAGGCAAACGTTTTGGGGAGGAAATTTCATATGTGCTCTGATGAGGTAAAAATAAGCCTGTTTAAAGCTTACTGTACATCCTTGTATACAGCTCCTTTGTGGTGCAAATTTAAAAAAACTAGTATGCAGAAGCTTAAGGTTGCTTATAATGACTCTTTGAGAATTTTGATCAAGAAACCCAGGTTCAGCAGTGCAAGTCAAATGTTCTGTAACGCACATGTCAGAACATTTCAGGCCCTTTTGAGAAATCTGATATACAAGTTTATGTGTCGTTTGGGTAACTCACCGAACAATCTTCTTGTAATGTTCTCACAGCCTTCTGTTAGTGCGCTAAGATACCAGTCGGCTCTTTGGAAACATTGGTATACAAGTCTTCTATAAGATTTATATTTATATTTTTTATGACTACTTATTGTATTTTATTTTTCATTTTCTCTTGTTTTTTTATGTTGTGTTGTTGTGTATCTTGTGGACCATGAGTCTGTTGAATAAAGTAAATTCAAATTCAACAGGTTTACCTTATCATAACGAAGCGCTTGCACAATCTGAGGAATGTAGAACAAGATGGCATCCTACGGAGATAGATAAAATGTTTTGCAGTAAAAAAAAAAAAGGAAAGAAAAAAAAAGAAGGACCTTTCTCTACTTTGCTAGATTCCACAGATGCGTGACCTACTGGAGGAAAGGAGCGCAGCACTTTAACTCCATACTGTGCAGTGAGAGGATGAGGAGGGTACATGCTGCTGAAGTAGGACAGACCCGTGGGCGGGTCAGCCGGAGCCCAACACAAGATGTGGCTCAGCTCAGGGGAGTCGGCGTCGATGGTGTGCCACGTCACGAGGAACTGACAGCAGACAGGGAGGAAAACATCCACGTTTTAAAACGCTGACGTTTACTTCTCCCACTCTGGGTTCATTGATAGTTCGTACCTTGACAGCCTCGGGCACGTCGCTCACCGCTCCAGGGTCCAACCTCACCAGCCGGGTCACTTCGGCTACAATGGCATCGTTTTTGAACCTGGAAGGGAAAAGCGGCAAAGCAGGGGAATCACATCAAAGCGAGGAGGATTATGTAGCTTTAACAATAACTGTAGAACCACCTGCAAACAACTTTCTGTTGAGACGCTTGTTTTTTACTTAACAAATTGTTTTTTTATATCTTCTATGATTGATCTTTTGAGGCATATTTCTTGCTTCGCTCACAGATGCCATAAGATACAAACTCAAAGTTTGACACCAGAGGAAAATGGTAAAAAGAAAAAAGGAAAGAGGATGAAAGAAAGGAAAAAGAAAGTGAGAAAGGAAGAAACAAAGAAACAAAATGTAGATTTTTTATATATTTAAAATATAGGAAAAAGTAATATTTTCTGTCTTTGTCCAGAAATCTAATTACAGACTTTTCCAGACCTTACAGGAAACTTGTCCATAGACTCAGCTAAGAGTAAAGTCTATGGCTGTCTGACATATAGTAATTATAATGGGACCGTTTTAATAGTGTGAGCATGCTGATGTAATGTGTAACCAGTGAGACAGCGTTTCATGTTGGGTGTTTCATGAGCCCTTACGCTTTAGGTGCAACAATAAACATTCATTTGCTTTTCCACACTCACAAAGCTTCACTCTAGATCGATCTCAACTTGTTTTATCGATTAAAAATCAAATTTCCACCTTGTAGGTAGTTGCATAGCCAGGTAAGGTGCGATGCTCCAGGCCAGATTGACGTTGTCCTTCCACTGTTTCTCAGTCAGGCTGATGTACTTGGACCTCCAGTTGGCGATGCTGGTCTCCACCGACTGCTCAGTGGCGATGGCCAGCTCCTGAGTGGAGAGCGGGTTGTACCACGTTGTCAGACGCTCAATCTCACTGGCCTGCCGAAAGAGACGAAGAGAGTGAACATAGGAGCGTGTACTCATTACGAGTACACGCCGTCAACGCTGTCCTCTGAACTCACCAGCAGCGCCAGCAACAGAGTGCGGCGTTTCATGTAGTACTTGTGAAGCTGAGTTCCTCTGTTGCTCTTTTTAGACGTGCCTTCAAAAAAAAAAAAAAAATTTTGCAATTGCTGTATTTCCACGGAGTAAGAAAGGCAATTAAAATCACACGTCAGCACATTTGTTCATGCGATTAGTCACTAAAAAACATGCAACTCCATGAACCTCCTACTATAAGTTGTGTTTCCATAATAAATAAGCGAATATATGTCTATATTCCGCTAATATTGGAGAAACAATTTTGTTACTGCGGCGTTTCCATTAAATAAGGAACGCAAATCCCAGCCACGGACTGGAGTTGCTGTAGCTATATGGTCTTGGTGCAACACACCAGTTACAGTGTTGATCCGTTCTGAGTTTGTTCTGCGTTTGTGTGCACACAAACTTTATTCATTTGTGTGCAAATGAATGAAATGACCATCGCAGCTTCTTCTGCTGCGATGGTCATGCACTTTGTAAATGGGTTATTTGAATGGATATGGAGGTAGCAGTCGCCTTAATCCACTGATACTCGGTCAGATGTAGAAATAGACAAATAGATATTTGTCTATTGTCTGTCGAATAGACAAATGAATGAAATGAAAATTAAAATCATTAAAATCAATTAAAATCATAAGCCTGCTCACACAACAAGTCATTAAAAAACATTCTCCAGCTACTTCCAGTCAAACCACAAACCATCTTTGTGGTTTGTGTCGTTTGATGATAAAGACTTCCCCTTGCAGTTTTGCGAAATGCACTAATATGGATACGGTCAAAAAACCAAATCATCCTAATGGCAAACTAGTTTTTTTTTTTTTTTCAAAATTAGTGTTTCTACTGAGCGAACATAGTTTTTAAATGTCAAATTGTGCAAAGAGCTGGTCAAAGGAAACATAACTACTGTGGGTGATGGTTTGCATCGCATGAAAACGTTGAATTAGTTCCCTTTGTGAGATTGGCAACACTGTACCTGACTTCTTGGATGTGGTGGACATCCCACTGGACAGAGGGTAGGTGTTGATCCACCCCTGGGCGCTCTGCTGGGATCGGGAGCTGGAGTCCATGTTGCTCCTCATGTCGGCAGCGTTCATCACCGACAGGCTGTTCAAGGACGGGTCCTGATTATCTGTCCACCGACAAACAGAATCAGGACCGAACGAAGCCGAAGCCGCGTGGTTTAGGACCACAAGTTGAATCTACAAGATTTAACTTAGCTTGTAAAACCAAGCAGTATGTAGATGTATTCTGAACTAATTCACATTACAAACCACAAACTTTGGAGTATTTTATTGAAGTTGGTTTCATTTTGACAAAATACTGTGAAGTTCATGGAAAATAATGTGATTCGGTTCAAAATAGCAATTTTTGAACAATAAAAAAACAAACAACATGGTTGATGATGAAGCTTTGTTTGGAAAGCGAGATGAATTGTGTCGCTTCTTCTGCTGCGATGATCATGCACTTTGTAAATGGGTTATTTGATTGGATATGGAGGTAGCATTCGCCTTAATCCACTGATACTCGGTCAGATGTAGAAAGTCTGATCCAGGTTCTGGGATTATAGGTCTAATCTACCAGAAGCGGGTTGATGTGTATGAGAATGAAACCATGTTTTTTTTTTTCTGGATCGTCTGGAATGAGGTGAACAGGATTTTTCTGAGGTAGAAGTAAAACAAACCAAAACAAACAAAACAGAAACTCTTTCTAGGATTTCTTCTTTTCAGACAAACTGATCAGGTTGAGGAAAGAGGTGGACGGGTGGGCTTGATGATGAGTCATCATGCATCATGACGCTGATGCCAAATTTGGGCTTTTCCTCACAGCTGTGTTCAAAGTAAAACTCAAGGTAAGAAAGACAGGAAAAAAAAAACATTTTGGAAAATGAAAGTTGGAAAATTTAGACCTGAACAGCACCGTGAGGAGAAGCTGCATCAAATCTGACAGGCGTGACAGCATGCCCACTTTGCTGCAGCGCAGCCCGTGCTCCACCGCTTTAGGCTTACTTAAGATCGATATCGGAGTAGTGCTGGACACGATTAGCGATCCGAATATCCCAGCAGAGAGAGTGCTCGGGGCTGAGGTAGTACCAAGCTCACCGGGTGGGACCAGCTGGTACGCTGCCAGGTACTTCTTATCCGACAGGATGCTGGCATAGAAGCGGATTATGATGCAGATGTCCTCGCGGAGACGCTTGTCGGCTTGGGTGGGAAACTTCGGAGAGACGCTGTGAAACATCGGAAAGAGTCCGTCAATAAGGAGACGCTCACCTGCTAAACTATGCTGGGCACATGTGAGGAGAGATGCTATGTGGGCATAACAGGTTAGAAAATGGCACTAAACATGAACACTGACCAGAAAAATAAGGCAGAAAATAATTAGTTCCCTGCAAAATCATAAAATCTCAGCAAGTAATTTTGCTCTTGTTTCTTGTTAATGCACTTGGAATAAGATTAAACTAACTTACAAGTAACTTTTTAGCAACATCTAACAGCTTGATTTAAAATAACAATTCCACAACATTAATTAAAATGTATTAGCTGCACTAGCAGATTTTAAAAATTATACCAAGATATTTTTTTCTATGATAGAAGTGAAACAATCTGCCAGTTTTTATTTGTTGCTGAAAAATTACTTGTATGTTAGTTTTGTCTTATTACAGAGACATTGGCACTAAAAAACTTAATTTTACTTGGTAAAGTAAAATTTACTAAAAACATTTTAGTGGTTTTAGTATTCACTATGAAACTATATAAATTAAAAGTTAACAAACGTTTGCCAAATTGCAATAAATAATTAACATGTGAAATGATTACTTAAATGTGTCATAAATGGTTTTTAAGCTGGCAATAAACTCAGAAATGAAAATTAATTTGCAGAAACATAAAAATGTATAGTCACAAAATAATTATCTCTACTTTTCTTGAGGCACATATTATTTCTGATAATTATTTCCAGTTTTATAAAATCAATGATCTATTTATTGTCTCACTCACTGTATTTTCTAACAGCTAATCTGAGCTAATCTGTCAGCTGAAGTCTGAGATCTCACCTGAAGTAATCGAAGGCTGTAGAGTAGATCTTCTCTCTGATGACGTTTCTCACAGTTGAGTTGGTGAGAACGTCAGAGTGCAGCAGAGCCAGACCTAAAGTCAGCAGCCTAACACACCAACAAACATGACTATAGTCATCAACTCCAGCCATTTTCTACAAACCTTCAATTTATGCTGTCATTTAGGGGTTATCAAGAACACCTTGATAACCCGTCAATAAGTAAGCCTAAAGCAGCACCCAGTAACTTTGAAAGAAATTAAATAAAGAAACAACAATATTATTGCTTATTTCAATAATATCAGGGAAAGTTAATCGTCCAGCAATATTTGCTATTTCAGTTTTGGACCCCATCAAAATACAACAATTGTTCTGAATGGACAGATTGCAGTTTCTGTTCAGGCGGTATGAATTTGTAAGGTTGGGGTAAGAGTCTTGAAGGATGCGCTGTACCTGAAACGGGGTCCGATGGCAGCAACGTGGCGGTTCAAGCCGCTGTTAGATCCGCCGACGCCCAAGGACAGGGAGCGCTGCAGCAAGCTGCCAAAGATCTCCACCTGATCCGCGCTGGAATATTTGGCTATTTCAAACCTCTGGACAAGAAACTAGAATAGAAAAAAAGAATGAAATTACAGACATACAAGGCAAAACAGTGAAAACAGGGATGTCTATGAGGGGGGGAGAGGGGGCAACCTGGATCCAGATGTGGTGAGGGGTGACATCTGGAGGGCAGGGCACAGGCTGACTTTCCTCTGACGCGGCAAGAGGATCAGCCTCCACCTGCGCGTTGGAGAACAGGCCCATCTTCAGCTCCACCGTCATCTGCCAAGCTCCTGCCATCTCCCGCATAAACTGGGAAGAAGAAGAAGACGCGGGTCATTGAAGAGATGACGCTAACGAAACCCGGGGAAACAAGAGAAGGTCAAGCACATCGAACAGTTTACCGGTACTTCCACCCCCGTACGCGCCGCCAGCAGCCACTCCCAGCATGCAATGGCTGTTTCCATGCCGTGCTCCGTGAACATCTTGAGGGGCGACCAGCAGAGGTGATGCAGGAGCTGAGGGTCGCATTCTGCAGCGTGGAAAACGACGGGAGCTGAGTCAGAGAATCGGGAAACGTAAAAAGTGACAGACTGACAAAGTCGTACCTTTGCTGCTGATGAGCAACGCAGCCAGCTTGAACATGGCCTCAGTGAAGGCTTCGGGCTGAGCAGAGTCCAGAGCCTCCTCCATCTGTTTGATCATGATCCGGGTCAGATCCGACTGGCCCCTGACTGCCTGCGCAAAGTGGATCATTCCTGCAACCTACAGAGAGAAAAAACACAGCAAAGATCAGACGAGAAACATAATACAATCTAAAGCTAACAGGCAATCAACTTTAATGTCTATGCTCAGTCAAATGTCCTAAACGTTTCGTAGATTAGTTTTTATTGGCACATTATTTTCCTGGGTCCATCAATATAAAGTTGTCATCTACATGCTATTTATGTCAAAAATGATTTAAAAGAAATTTGACTTCATAATTCAAAGTCTTGAAATTAGGCCTCCGTCTCTTTAAGAAATCCTGCTCTTTCCGAAACGCCACCTTCAGAAAGTCATCACAACATGGCTCCTCTATTAACCCTTTAACAACATTTTTAAGCAGCATTTCACTGAGAAGTAGCTCCAAGAATGAGATCAGCAGATGCAGCGTTCCATCAGCTGTTTGCCAGTTGCCAAGCAAGATTAAAGGATTTCTCAAACATGCATGAGAGATATGGAGGCATGAAAGATATCCAGATACGTTTTTGATGAGGGAATGACATTATAACATGATGTAAAACTTAAAAAATTACATTTTATGTGATACTACTCCCTTAAGGCTTTTATAAATAAAGTCAGAGAAAGAACAAAGGTTATAGAAAGTTCTTGAGACAACACAGAGCCAGACTTGCAGTGATTGTCATTTCACTTCTTTGCCATTTTGTACAGCTGTAGTCTCATACCTAATTTTTCTAATAACAGCTAAACTGATTTATAAATCTAGTGATGCACAATATACCTGCATTTCCATTGATATCGGTCAATGTTAGTCATTTTTTTAACATATTGGTATTGGTGCGATAAGTCATACTGGATTACGTGGTGTTCAACACAATGCAGATGACCGTACCTCTCCAGCGTATCTGTTCCGTAGGTTCAGGGACGCCATGAAATTGGAGTAATCCTTCTTCACACATGCTGGCCTCTCAGTCAGCTGGGTGGACTAATTGGGAAAGTGATTGAAATTAACACCATTTCTTAACACCACAGTCATTGTGTCATAACTAAAATCTTCTAAAATCCTAGCGTCTCTCAGGGTTGTATTCTCCGTTTATTTCCCCATTTTTAAATCTCAAAATTTCTCTTCACATTTTTAAAGTGAAAGAAATGAAAAGGACATGTCTGTCTGATTGGTCAGAATGATCCAGTTGTGCAACTTAAAGCAAGTTAAATGAAGAAGACAGTTGGTGACTCACCCCCAGAGTGGTACTCTGTCTGTTGTAGCCAGCAAAGTGCAGGATGCTTTCAGTGGCCATGGCCAAACCCGTGTGCTGGGATAGACCCGAGACCCAGTTCTGATGTTTGTTCAGGTACTCCTGACACCGCATGGAAACAGGCAGTTCAAACTTTCAATGTTAGTTTCTCTCATGCTGGACATGTTAAGTTGACATTAACATTTCTTAGGACTGACACATAGCATTTAAGAATGACACAAAATTTACTTTTTCAGTAGACTTTATTCAAATATCCTATTGATATAGAAGTATAATGACTTATCACACATACTTTCAGTTTCAGCTTTCCTTTAAGAAAAATCAAAATATCTAAAAAAATGTTCTCACAAAGTTTTTGGACATTTAGCAAACAGAAACAATTTTAGAAACTACAACTAGCCTGAAACAGGAGAAGTTTGGTATGATTTAACCTCAAACAGTGAGAGAAAATGGCGTATGCGTTTTTTTATTCGGCATATGTAAACTTCTGGTTTCAATTGTGTAGAGTTGCTTTGCGCTGCACTCTTTAAGATGATAGAGTAGAAAAGGCTTGAGAAATATTACCTGCAGGTGGGACTTCGTTACAGACGGAGCCCACTTCATGGCCTCCTTAAGGATTTCTCCACATCGTGCAGCAAAATCTTTGACAATGCTCTAAATATCACAGAAAGGAACGTTAACGCAGCACGTTTGTAAGTGATTTTTGGGATTTTATTTGGCATGGAGATGAGTAAAAAAAAAAAAAAAGTTACCTCCCTGGCTTCGTATGTGTCCGGAGCAGTGATTCTGTACGGAGTGTCAGGGATGTCATAATACGGCTGATCTTTATGAATGTCCTGCAACACACCGTCAACACTCATAAAATCATGGTACAGATTCACAGACACACACTGCTTTGATGGATTAAACCAGGGGTGTCAAACTCCAGTGCTCTAGGAGAGCCACAGGTACAGAAAATGCTGGAATGAAATGGCTTAATTACCTCCTCCTTGTGTAGATCAGTTTTCCAGAGCCTTGCTAATGACCTAATTATTCTATTCAGGTGATGCGGCAGAGGCACATTTAAAAGTTGCAGGGCACCAGCCCTGGAGGACTGGAGTTTGACACCCGTGGATTAAACAATCACCACTCACTGCACTAAGGGACAGGGAGAGAGTCTGCAGAATGTCCAACATGGTCTTCAGCACCCGGCCGCTCCAAAGCAGGTGGGGGAAGCTGAGGGGAGAGATGTTGGAGTGTTTATGAAAGAATAAGAGGTCATTTTGGGAGGAAGAACTGGCGGATCAGAGCTGTCTTACGTTTCAGCCAGACCAGACAGATATTTGTCGGCTACTCTGCGGATCCGCTTGTGGATGTGGTTGAAGTTGACCAAGAGAAACTGGGCGTGGCGTTCCAGCTCCTCCTCGTGAGCTTTGGTTTTAGGCTTTTCAAACAAAAAATATGGCAAACAAACTTAGAAACAATAAACAACAAATAGTATTATATAAATATGCTCATTTTCTAACAGGGTTTGAAATTACTGATGTAATGCAGACATCAGGATTGATAACAAGTACTATATCGAGTTGAGGTGGCTCTGAAAGAGCGGAAAGCCTCACGTACTTTTTCAGCCATCATTTGAAGAAAAACCTCAAACACCTTGTCGCTGACAGCGATCACGCACTGCATCATACCTGGAAAAACATGAATTTGATACACGAGGGACAGTATTTCTCTGTCAGAGTCAATCAATCAATCAAATTTTATTTGTATAGCACATTTCAGCAGCAAGGCATTTCAGAAGAGGAGCAGTTTTCCTCTTCTGTCGCCCTTACCAGATTTATCCTTCTGTATCGCTCGGTCTTCAAAGTAACGAAACATGACCTGGAATCGGTCCGAGTCCAGAGAGTGCAGCATCCTGAGCATAATGAAAAACAAAAACAGAGATGGCATGAGATCATGTTGTTTGTGTAAAGAACAACGCTGCAACTAAAGATTATTTCAATAATTGATAATTCTGATGATCAGATTAAAAATAATAGCCACAGTCTACAGATTATTTAGTCACTGAAGTCCTTTTTATACACTATGAGAAATGCATTAAAAGATGCAAATAAGCAAACAATTTGTTCTTGTTCCAAACAAAACAATAAACATTTTATTGCCTAAAATGCAATAAAATAGCATTCATTTAAACCGAGTGAAACTTGAGGAATGTATATGTATTTTATACTGTTTTGTATTAGTTACTCCTCTGAATATCTTGCCTGTTTTTGAGTCTGTATTCTAATGACTAATCGATTGCTAAATTACTGGATGATTATTTCAATAATCAATTTGTAATGACTAAACCGATTAATCGTTTCAGCTATAGTAAACATAAAGCTTCCATTTGTTGTGGAGGCATCGTTTTACCTCATGTACTCCAGTCTGTAGACAGACAGCAGGTATGTGGACATTGCAAAGTCCAGCTTGTTGATGAGGGCGGCCACCTCTGGAGGCGGGTCCAGCAGGTTGATAATGGTGCTGCGCAGGTCATTCAGCTCCGCCTGAAGCATAGCAGCCGGAGTCAGAAAACTGTGCACCTGCTTCTGTGTGTGTGTGTGTGTGTGTGTGTGTGTGTGTGTTCATACTGGAGTGACGGTGTCGTTCTTCAGCGCAGAGTTATACTGAAGCTCGGAGCGTAAAGGCTCCCCGCTGGGAAACGTCAACAGCGGCGATTTGGTCGCGATTTCACAAACCCCTTCGTACCACTCCTCCGGCCACAGGCCTGATTGTTTCAACAGAGATGGAGGAGGAGAAGAAGAAGACAATGAATACAGTAGAACACATAGATTTACAAGCTTCCTGTATGAAAAGACAACAGTTCTTGTTCTCGATATCTGCAGGTTTCAGCAAGCCAAATTTAAGACTTTTTCAGATCCTTTTTAAAGCCACTATGAATGAAGTTCATAAATGATTTACAAGCAGGGTTGAGTAAACGTGTCGTACCTGAGCCCTCCACTGCGAATCCCATGACGACAGAGTAGAGCCAGAAATCTCTGAACAACTTCTGCAGACGCGGCTTTGCCTCCTTAATTGGTGGCAACCTCTTCGTCAGCTAGCATGGAAAACATAATTATGCTTAAAAGCGGCTAGAAGAGCAGGTGGAGGTTTAGCATTCGGCATAATAAAATAAGGTGCTTCAGTTTACAAGTCCTCAACCCAAAAAACAAAATAAGCAAAAAGCTGGACATCTGGATCACTTACCACAGCTATAACTGGAATGAGGACGCCAAGGTTTCCAGCACTGCTAGAGGCCTGCAGAGAAAGAAACAAAGTCGTGTTTGTGTTCTCCAGCATGAAGATATTCAAAGACGACATAATTACAGACAAACCTCAGCGTGCCATTGCTGGATAAAGCTTTTCTGAATTTTAGCTTAACATAACTAATCTTTTAGCCTCAATATTAGCAAAGAACTGTCATACAATCATATGATTTCCATAAGATGTCTATATGAAAACTGTAAATGGAATTTTAAATTAATTTCATAAATCATTTTGATTCATGAAATTAAGTGAGAAAGAAGATGTCACTATTCGAGGTAAACAACTGACCCAGCGGTGAGAGGTTAGGCCAGCCCTCAGACTGGTGGGGATTAAAGACGGGCTTTACTGTAACAATTTCTCCCCATGTAAACTCTAATAATCAAAATTTATTGTGGTTCCATCAACATTTTTATGCGCATTTAAAAGGTTGGTGGAAACTGCAAAATTGGAGACAATTTCCTCAGTTTTGCAGAAACATTTTATGCTCCCTTGAGGTTTGCTTTTCCAAAAAAACAGAGTTAATGTGCTGGAGGAAAGATGGAAACACATTTATTGAATAAGTTTTGACGTAGCAAATCTTCACTTCCACTGGTGGGTTTGTGCTTTAGAAGAGGTACCAAACTATGAGAAACTTCTAAATCCAAATCTCCAGCTCAGACACGACGACTCTCTCCAATTTTCTGAGGTGTGTGATTCACACTAGTTTATAACCTTTACTTCCTGTTCATTAGAGCCACACGTAGCATCAACATCTGATGAAAGGCTGCCTTATTTGAGTTATCTTTTTTTGCGATATTTTAATAGTTGGATGAAAACAGTGAAATGGACTCAATGTGAGAGTTCAGTAAATGTTCTAACGTTGAGTGTAAATGTTAATACAAAGCGTACCTTCAGGGCCGGGCCTTTGTCCGAGGCCCGCTCACTGGCTCTCTTCCCCTCTAAGCCCAGCTGCACAAAAAGCTCCAGCAGGTTGACCAGCAGCTCGTCCACCATCTGCTCGGCCTGCATGTTGGCTGCTATGTTACCCAGAGCGTTTATAACGGCCAGAGAGCAGTGTCTGCACATAGAGGGGGGAAGCATGTCAGATGAAAGTCCAGCATACAGCTTTACAACATCATGGTAAATAAGCAGCAACATCTAATCGAAAACTGTCTCTGATGTTTCATTTAGGTAGTTTTTACTAAACACTTGAAGATCTTTAAAGGGGAACCATCGTGTGTTTTTCAGCTACATAGTGACGTTTTATATCACAATCAAGTAACTATGTTGGCTTAAGTTGTTAGAAAAATTCTGAATATAGCAAATATGACTTAAATTATATACTTTATAATTTAACACCCTGAAATTGGGCCGTCTCTGTCTCTTTAAGAAACTCACACTTTTTCTGAAGCTCTGGCTTCAGGAAGTCATCATGATATCATTAACCATCTATTAATTCTCTGACAACATTTTTAGTAGCGCATAACTGAGAAGAAGCAGCTCGTATCATGAGCCCAGCAGATGCACAGTTCCTCCAGGTGTTTGCTAATTACTGCTGGCTAGTCTGAAGGAACCGTGTGGGGGCTTGACAGCTTGGAAACTCCAGCTCCGTCACATGTTTGGCGAGCCAGATAGGATTGGAGGACATTGGCTTCATATTATCGGCTGATTACCCAAAACCAAGGAAATAGCTGCACCTCTTTATTAAGTGACATCTTAAAGCCTTTGGTTCCACTGCACTTTACTATTTACAGGTGCACACCACAGATTTTCAGATGTAAAATGCTTAAAACCGTGTGTCCTTCTCTTTCCACTTCACACTTCTGTGTTGGTCAATCACATCAAACCCCAAAAATATGCATTCAATTTGTGGTCGTCCAGGGAATTGTGAAAATATAAGGAAGAAAAACTAACCAGAGCTGCGTTATAAAGTTGTTCCCCTCACCTGTAACCGTGGTCTTTGTAGTCTTTGGTGGAGTAAACCATGGAGCTCGCTTTGACACTGATCTGCTGGAACAAATTCCACACTTCCTGGTAGATGTATTGCTAAAAGAGAAACAAGAGCAAACACAAATTTCATTTTTTAAAGTGATGACTCACTTAAAATTTTTTGTTGTTATGTGCAAATATATATTTATTTGAATAATTAACATCACGGTTAGCGGCGGTGAATCAGCAGTTTATCTGTGACTGGAGGCGAGAAAAGAACATGTCAGCTCTCACATTGCCTGTGATCACCATGCAGCCCAGCTGATCTATGATGAGGACGTCGAGCTGCGAAGGCGGCTGGCAGAACTTCTGCTGCAGGATCTGCAGGATGGGCTCCATCACCCTGGGCGTGTCGCGCAGCGCCACAGCGATGTGGCCCAAAGCTCTGATGGTGTGGTCTGGGATCAGGTGAGCATCCCTGGAAAAAGAGGGAATGACTTTAAATCATCTGTTTCAGCACAATTAGTTGAGTAATTTTTTTTCTGGATCTGGCTAACTTGTCATTTTCCTGGTAGATGTAAAGACGGTTGGACAGACTGGCAAGGAAAGCCTCCACAATGACGTTATCCATCGTGAGGCCAGCTTTCAGGCACCTTGGGAGAGAGATAAGAGGGAATCCTGGTTTGGAACTTGGAAAAAAAATCATAACTTCTTGTTATGCTAACTGAAACTTTTGAGGACTTTCTACTGACAAAGTACATTTAAATGCATATTAGGACCTCATGCTGTTTTCTGGGATAGATTTTCCTCCTCCTTTCATTTATACTCCTTCGAACCAAAACCAAACCAAATGAAACAGAAGCAGATAGAAATCTACCCCAAAATCATCTCTGCTAGGTAGTTTCAGTCCCCTCTCCTCCTTTGCAGGTCATATTTTCTGTTAACTTTAAAACAAACAACTGGAATTCTGCATTTCTGCTTGCAAACACAAAATGTAAAACTGAAAAACCACGCAAGTTTATTTGAATAGCAAGTTCAGCAACATGGCAGTTCATAGTGCTTAAGATTTTGGAAACATAAAAAAAACACATAATACACACATCATATCATCAACAGTTGTGAAAACCAATAAGAGATTGAATATGTGGGTCAATGTTCCCATTTATTGTGGTTCAAAAGCCAATCTAAACAAAAGGTGGCTTTTTAGTCTGGATTTAAAACAGAGTTTGCATCTCAATACTTAAATAAAACCCTACAAACTAAATAGAAATAAAGCAGTCAAAAGAATGTGGACATTATTTTTTCAGAGCGACATCAAACCTTTTCTGTTGTTTTTTTTTTTTTGTGTGTGTGCTAACTCACCTGCATATGTTATCGATGGAGATGTCCCGCAGCTGTTCGTACATGGAGGGCTGGCTCTTCTTGCTTGCATTGGTGCTGATGGTTGACTGAGAATGTTCATTGGTCACATGGATCTTGATGTCACTTCCTCCTTGAAAAGACAGTTATTTTGTAAGACACACCGCATTAGCTCAGTGGTGGGTACATTTCCACTAATAGAGGAGCTAGGTTTGTATTTAGCGCTTTTCTTAACAGAAAATATTTAGTGCAGCTAGCGTCCCCTAACTTCAATTTTCCAAACCAATTCCAAAAGGCCACTTTACTTGGCTGTTTAGTAAACAATCAGTTGAATAAAGTTCAACATTTGGTCATCAACTGGTAAGAACCAGAGGTTTATATTCAAGCTCTTATTTTGAAATGGCTGCTAGAAATAAAAATAAAACAGTGACATTATTCTGCTAAAACCATTTTTAAAAATTGTTTAAAATTAATAACCGAGGAAAATGAAATTCTGTTACATATTATTGCAATAGTAGAGGTATAATAGTTCAAGGAACCGCATGCTACACTTTTCCTCCCATTTCAAAATAATGTCCCACTTTTTGTTGGTTCATCTCATAGAATTCAATTTTTTTTATATTTTTAGTATTTGGTGTTTGTGACTTAAATACGAGACATCTATGATAATGCTGCATGCAACCCCTCAGTCTGAGGAGGTCAACTTATCCACTTGGGAACGTCGTTGTTACCTGGAGCGCACTGGCTGTGATATTTGTAGAGCTTCACCAGAACAGGAGAGGGCACCACCAGAAAGTCTCTGAGAGACGTGGTAACAGAGTGCGCCACGACAGGAAAGCGCTCGCACAGACGACCCAAACCCTGCACACAAACACAACACGGATATCAGAGCCCTGGAGATACATGACAACGCTAACAGCCGCTCCATGAAAGTGGTTCATCGAGCTCTGAACCACTTTCCACTGATTTCATGCAGTCAGGAAGTTACAGTGTAGCTATGCTGGCAGCTCAGCGACTCTTTTGTTACCAAATGAAGTCAGAGCTGAGATAGAAGGTCGGGAGAAATGAATAGAAAACCTGAAGTCCCAATGGGAGTCTCTGAGTGATCAGCTAATGAGCAGCGTATCAATATGCTGAACAGATTAAATGTTACACCAACACAGTGTCAAGTTAGTTCACTGCGCTCCTGCTTTCACTAGGCTGGGTGGACTGTTCTGAATTACAATGAATGCCTTACATAGAGAAGCAGAGAATTTTAGATTTTTGAATGTCTGCGTATTTACCTCTTTGTATCTCAGATACACTAAAATAATCAAAACTTTTGCAGATTTGGAGACTAATTAAATCAAATTGCATTCTTTGCAAGACTAAGCTCTCCTGTAATTGCTCAGAACTCACCAGACAAAAAAAAAATGAAAGTCAATTAAGCTGTAAGTGCTTTGTAACAATAAAAACATGTTTGATAATTTATTTCTCTCTTTTTTTCTCACCTGTAAGCAGCAAATGAGGAGGGGCATGTGGGCGATGATGACTTTACTAGAAGTCTTTGACTGCAGCTTCTCTGACAGTTTGGTGCAAAGGTTCTCAGCTCCTGGCGAAACAAAACAGCTTTCAAGTAATGTGAAAAATGACATGACATTTTGTCAAACTGGGTCAAATGATCCGAGTCTCACCCTGTTCCTCTGTGACAGCCCAAACCATGAGGTCAACACAGGCAGCGTTGGCCTGGCAACGCAGTTTGAGCGGGCTCAGTTCGCTCTGGAGGTACTCCACGTCATGGAGAATCCTCTGCAGCTCTGACTGGCTGCTGCTGAACTGCTCCAGGACAAAGTCGTGAACCTCCTTCACATAATCCGTCTGAAGGTCTGAACCATGAAGAATACGTTTATTTATTAGGGAAACTATGACTAAGTCTTAGTCATAGTTTTCTAAAAGATTTGAAGAAAGTCAACAACGGTTCCCTCACCTTTCAGGTTGTACAGCGTGTCTCTCAGCATTTTAAATATGGCCACATATAACGGATCACTGAACGTCTTGTAGTAAAGATGAATTTCTGGATTGCTCTGTGAAGAGAACGACACCAGTAAGTAATAACCGTTACAAGTACAAGTGCACAGATTTCAGTTTTCCGGTCTGATTATGATTTTTACCGAGACAGATTTTTCTTTTGTCTGAAAAGTTGCTAAATAAAGCGACAGAGTTGATAAGTTGGCCACAGTGACGTTGATCTAATTCTAAGTAATAAATCTGACATTCACAGAAAAGAGAACAGACTTCGATGTAGGAGTCCTACCTCATGGTATTCAGCCAAGTTGCCATCCAGTGACTTCAAAAACGACTCGGAAACAAATTGCTCAACCTGACCAAGACAAGCAAGCAATGTTTATTTTAACAATAAACTAAAGGCAGAAGACATTAACTATTTTATGTTTGCATTACTGAGTTAATAGTCTAACTTCAAAGCCAGAACAGATTTCAGTTTTGTACTGCACTGTGATTAGTGGTGAAAGTGTGGAGTGTAGCTAGTGCTAACCATGTGAAGGAGCTGTCTGAGCATCTCCAGAGGGACCTGGAACTCTCCAGAGCTGCTCCCAGTGAAAAGAGGAGAGACAGAGAAGCTGGAGCTGATGGTGGAGAAGTAATAATCGGGGTCCACGGCGCTGCCATCAGGGAGATAGGAGCCTGGGGGAAGAGAAGAAGAGCTTCAAGACGGGAAGGAGGTTCTTTTGGGAATAAAAAGTGGCGAATTAGTCAATGTGTTGTGGAAATTGAAATTCAAAAAATAAATGTGTTTTATGGAATCTCAGCAATTAAAAAAAAACTACTACTGGTTTTAACAATGAAGAAGATGACAGGAAGCGGTAGGCGGAATATTGTTTTGTTTCTTTCAGACAACATGCAGCTGGATCCACTAGAGTTCTCACAGCATCACACAGCTCATATAAAGTTGTGTGTCATTCTAACCTGTTGAATTCACAGCTCCTCTGTAAAATCACCAATTACAATTCCTCCAAAACACTGCATAGGTAGCCGCTAAAGATTTTTTGCAGTAACAAGCTTATTTACATGTAATTTTAATTTTATTTCAGATCTGATGGAAACAACGCATTTGCCAAATTGTATTTTTTCAGCATTAATGGAATGCTGACAAAGATTTGTGCACATTTGCAATGGAAATAAATGTAAGTAAAAGCAAACATTTGGAAATGGGAACACGTTGTGTTTATATTATGCTTTCTGGAGCATTTCCATTATAAATGTGAGCAAAACATTGCCAATATCCCAATAATGTCAAACAATATAATTTCGCAATTGTGATGCTTCCATTAAATAAGAAACACAATTAAAATCCAATGCAAATAAGTTTGCTCATGCAATAGATAAACACACCTCACAATCATCTTCCAACCACTTCCTGTCAACTTCTTCTTGGTTTTTGCCAGCGGCAACAACTGGTTGTTGATCATGTGACTCGTGTGATGCAGAAAACATGTTTCCTCTGTAATTTTGCAATTTTGAAATTGCTGTGTTTCCATTAGGTTCATTTACTTTCAAAAATTGTCAAATTGTGCAATAATATAATCAATGGAGATAATCATGGCACTGCATAGGCTGCGTTTACCTTCAAAGTACTGCGCAGATGGATCGGCAGGAGAGCTGGGTGTCAGTCCCGTTCTCTCTGGACTTGCCTACAAAACAGACACATGGTGGATCTTATTTTAACCCGAGTCCCAAGTCGACTTGCCTGTTCCACTCCGGAGTCGCTGATACCTGTTGTGAAACGCTGGACACGGAGGAGGTTTTACGTTTCATGGAGTCTCCCTGACACACCGTGAGCAGAGAGCTCGGCAGGATGGAGCGGAAGTCGTTGAAAGAGCGCCGTCTGGCCGCGTCCCCGCAGTCACCCGCAGAGAGAGACGGAGCAGCGGGTCGGGGGAACAGCTTGGACAGCAGCGGCTCGTCCGTGTTACTGTATCGCCCAAACGCCCTGGCCACACCGAGCAGGCTGGGCACAGTGTACCTGCACAGGTAGCCTGCGAGACGAAATGGACGCAAAAGATGAGATCATCTGGGATAACTAGGTGAAACATAGAGAAACTGTAAAGGGTGTTAGGTTAGCACCTTTATCGTGAGCATCTGGATCTTTGCAGATATCTTGGAGAACCTGCATGATGTCCATGAGCGCCTCCAGGATCTGAAATACAAGGCTGGCTTTTCAAAATCTAGTTCATGATCACGTAGCACAAAAGTCATTAAATCTCATGTATGTCATAACTCTATAGTTCTATCTTCTGACAAGGAAACTGATGTTATCTTATATGGCGTCATGGACCATCACAATGCATCAAGACCTCGACGACAACTGGACAAAATTCTGTATTTTATCGACCTAAGCAAAGTAGGACACTTGCATCTTTAGGGTTTTGTTGTCGTTGTGTAGAATAATATCAAGGGTGTGACCAGCCAACCATTCAAGGAGAAATGATAACATTCAGCAGGCCATCTATTTATCATCAGCATATTAAAAAACTCAACTGAATTTTTGGAAAAGTTGAGCCAAAGAAAGGATATAGGCAAAAAGAGAAAGAAAAACAGACAAAAGTATAGATCCCTGAGGGTCTCCATCAAATTTAAATAAGTTGCATGTGTTATTTTCTTCTATTTCATTATTTTTTCAATACAAATATAGCCTAAAAGTGCAGCTTGTTTACTCACAAACACACTTACTAGCTGTTTAGTCTTTTCATTCCAAACGCTTCACCATTTTTAGACTATTAACACAAAATCATCTCAAACTGCTTCATGTGAAAATACTGCAGAGATGCCTAGTGATGAATATTCTACACATACCAAGGATTGTATTGGAAGCACTTTGCATCTCGTGGTCCGAGCATGAATGACACACATCATGATACAGGCATAAGACTGCTGCTTTATTCAATTTGTCTGTTATTGTGTCTGTCCTTATCAAATAAACCTAAAGAATAAATAAATAAAAAGACACCAGCTGTAATTTTACAGCACTGTGCTGACTGACCAGTGATTTTACAGAAACAAATGTTTTTCTGTTTAGCCATTGCAGGATCAATAACAGAATCTACATACCTGACATTGAAAATGTGCTCTTTTACTATTATGCCCAAAGTCACTAATTTGCGTCATACTATAAGTTTAGATCCAATACAGCTTTATTTGATTTAGCATCTGCCAGACAGCAAAATCACCATTCTGCTATTTTTATTTTAGAGTATGGAATAAACATAGGTAATAAGGGGTTAGAAACCAAGGCACCGTAATTTTATTTAAAATCTGCATGTATCCATTGCTACCCTACTAATGCACTCACTAAACACTGTGTGTCTGTGAATCCGTATGACTAAATAGGAACATATAAGCACACACCTGTCCTCTGAAGTTCTCATCTCTCTGAGCAACATCTGAGAGCAGCGTCACAAGACAAAAGCTGAAGTTTTCTGCAACCGGAAGAGTGTCTGTAGGACATGACAAAAACAGAGATTAAAACCCTCTGATGACAGCTTCCAGGCTTGATCTGAGCACCACAGTGATACCGACCCCGCCCTTTGCGCTCCGAGCTCTCCTCGATCCACTGAACCTTGGGAAGCCCTCTGAGCAGCCCAAGAAGGTAGGGGACGATGACGTCTTTGTGCTGCAACACAACAGCATCGTTGCATCGTTTAGCAAGTCGCCCTTCCCATGAACGCATGGCGAAGCGGCGGAAACGGGTTTTACCTGCAGGTTGGACTCTACCAGGAAAATCCCAAGAGCCGTCACGGCGTCCCGCCTCCTCTCATCAAGCTGGAAGACGCCTCTGAAGTCCACAGGGCACATGCAGTGCAGCTTCTGCACCTGCAGTGCAACAACACAGGTTAACAAAACAGACTTTTTGTTCAACTGTATGAATTAGAAGGTAACAAGGCCAATGCTGAAGAAGAGAGCATTGACTTAAATTCAGAGATGTGTCATTTTAGGGTTGTTTCAAAAATGTGTATTTAATAAATCAATGTGATGCCATAGTGAAATTAATGTATTGTGATAAAAAGCATTTATGTACAGGACTGGGCATTTATCTTGTTGTTTATTATTTATTGTGATAAACTTTCTAACATGACAAGAATTTAGACTGATCGTTGGGACGATAAAGTCCAAATAATGTTTAAAGCACTCCAAAAACTATGTGTATTGCTAGTTTTACTATTTTCTGAATTTTTTGTTCAATGAAAGCATCAATAAATATCAGTGCATTTGAAAATATTATTACTGCAGTTACTGTGAGTACTTTAGTGATACAAATTACACTTCTTTATGTGACTGGTGTCCTATTTATGTAATATATTGTTAGGGGAACCCGTAACCAACACATCTACTGATGACACGGCCTTCCCTGCAGGGATACTTTAGCTCCATTAGTCTTAATGATTAGGTTCCTAAACGCCTTTTAGGAACTAAGCCAAAAACTTCCTGTTACAACCCAAAGAGCCATTTCTATCCTGAGGTCAGCAAAATAAAAAACTTCACCCACAAATGTTATGCGACCTTTAAAAAATAAAAAAATTGTAATTTCAGAGAAATATGTACCATAGAATTAGAAAAAAAAAACATCTCCAAAAAGAAAATGCTACTTTTTTAATATGATTAAAATGACTTTTTAGAACAAAAAGATATTCAACTTAATGACATAGTGTGCAAAAAAACCCTGAAGGAAGTAAAACTGTGGTACATTTAAAAGCCCTATGAAAATGACTGACTTTACTGACTGACTGTATAATAATCGCTGTTTTATTGTGACTTCCTGGTCTGCTTCCTACTGTGTTGTAACTTTCTCAGTGAGTCAAACAATTTCTCTCAAATCAAAGTTCAAACACCCAGAAAAAAAGCAGAAACAAACCTGACTGATCATTAATCCTAAAAACACCATGAAGTAAAGCGGTATTGTTGAAACGGCCCTTTCATCACATCGGATCCTTCCTGTTTAAAACTTCCCAATTCTGAAATCTCTCCTCCAACCAGCTCAACCTCTGGGTGCTTGTACAGACAGATAAACTGGCAGAGATTAATGCATTACAAGTATTAATGTGTATGTATAACATATTATTATTAACTTTACGTCTCACACTTTTTTTGGTACGGCTACTCTATGATTTTGTGTTAGTAGGTGTGCATGCAATATATGCTTGAGAAAACTTACAAATAATTGCATATGAATTTGTCCATATATGGTCAGAAGGGGTTGGCGGTTTGTCAGTGTAACGATAGGAAGTCTAATTTCAACACAAAGCAACAATAAGTTTTTATAGTAGCATATGCATGTTGTGTAGTCCTACCTTGTTGTTATTCACATAGAAAAGCTAACCGAGTGAGCAAAATGATTACTGCTTAAGTTCTGCTGAATTTATTATTTTATCATTTGAAATGAGGCAACAGAAAAACAAATTATTATGAAGTCTTGGAGAGGAGGCAGGACTAAATAAGTCTGTACTTCTTCCCAAGTGTACATTCATTTGGGAGATTAATTGTGTTTTGTCTTGTTCTCTATGTGTTTGAAAGAAATCAAAACTGAATGGAAATTTGATCAGAAGGGAGATTATTGATGTCATCGCTGCAATGACAAAAAGTATTGAACCGTATATGAATATATGTATGAAGATGGCGTAGGAGATAAACAGAATAAACACTAGTTACAGGGGAGTGCTGCGTAATATTTTGAAAAAGAGATAGCCTGAAACAGAACATTGATTTAACAATTACACAGTAGTTCAACCACAGGACAGTATGTATGGATTGAATAATTGATTCACACATGAGTGGATGAATTATTCAAGACAAAATTCATTGCTGCTTATCGAAAAGGTCAGACTGCAGCTTCAAACCAGAGCGTTTTTATGAACACTGCAGTCTGCTGTTCCTGGGTTTGGCTCCTCAGGGTTTCTTCCTGTCTGCAGTTCCTCCATTGTCGCCCTCCACCCTGTGCATGCTCAGGATATTGGATGCAATAAAATAAATCCAATTGTCAAACCTAATATTTAAAATCGAACGGAGTGCATTGCAATATCATTTTAAGCAGAAGAATTTTGTAAATGTGATTCTTTTTTCTTTTTTTTTTTTTTTTGCTTCCGCTTTAGAATGTCCTGAAACTTTTATTGGTCTTTAGAGATTTTTTATTGTTGTTCGTTTTGCACAGATCTTCTGACATTATGTCCATGACGCACATTGGAAGTTAAAGGAGAGTAAAACAGGAAGAAGCTGCAGGAGCTCGTGCGGTTCCAGCCCGAGCGGATTAACTGCGGGTTAAAAACAGCCAGCTGACACAAAACCCTCTGCGTAGCGACGCTAAACCTCCAAATAACAATAAACCTCCAAACTACCAGAGCAGCTTAAACTCGGTTCCGACCCACAGGAACACTGGAACACGCCCGGTACAGAGAGAGCAGTGAAGTTCAGGGCGTCAATGTCAAATTCAGAGTAAAGGCTCGTTACGAGCCCGACATCAGCAGCTAGCCGGACCGGTACCTTGTCTAACGGAGCGTGCTGGTGAGCCGCGAGCGACCGAGCCAGAGACAGCACGGTGTTGAAGTAGAAGCCTCTGCATCCTCCTCCGTTCAGAGACATGTCGAACCATTCCCGGACTCCGCTACACAGAGGCAAACATCTTCTGCCGCTCGGCCCGACCGCAGGGGATACGGAGGCTGCTGGGAGTACGGTGGGCGAGACGGCCAAACCGTGCCGCGCAAGGTCACAAACCACCGCGCAGCTTCCCTGATGCGATTTTAGACGCTTAGCAATTTTTTTTATCTGCAGTTTGACAATTCACTTTATTTTTAGAGTATTGTCCATAGTCATTATTCGTACATTAAACTCATCCATGAACTTGTAAAAGGTCTTTGAATGAGCTGCATTCATATTCATTCAGGTGAGATTTGGGCTTCATATTTCATTTTTATGGAAAATGAAAATAATTTCAATATTTTAATCTTCCAGGATTTGAATAAATGTAAGCATTTCATTTCCATGTACACCTCACAAAATCATCATCACTCTAATGCAAAAATCAACAATAGTACACCGTGAATAGTTTGTGAGCAAACAACAACAAAATAAAACACACACACACACACACACACAGAGCCAATAGTCTGAACCATGTTTATTTGTGGTGATCCATAATGAACTCAAGGCACATGATGTTCTATGGTCTGTGAACATTTTTAGTGTCAATCCAAAAACCCCAGATATATTTAAATAGCTGTGATGGAGTCCAGGGTTACGAGATTAACATGGAACATAAGCATAATTCACAGTAAACATAGAGTGTTGTACACAAAGACTGCAATAAGAAAAACACGTATTAGCGCTGCATGTAAACAAGCCAGCTCCACAAGCTGCAATCTCTAAGTCCATAACGTACAATTTTGTTGTTATTTGCAGCACATTAGGTCCTCATTTGGCATAGAAAGTAAAGGCAATTAACTCGAGAAAGACTGAAATTCGGTACCTGTGTCAAAAAGAATCTATGGACAGAGATGAAAGGCACCATTAGTTGCATCCGAAGCACTTTAAATGCAAAGTATACAATTTGAAAAGCAAAAAGAAAAGAAAGAAGGGAAGAAAGAAAAACAAGTATAAAGAAACACTGATGCCGATAAAGGTGAGTCAAGATATGAACGTGTTATAAATTCCATAGGCACAGCTGGAGAATTAACAGTGTATGAAACCGAGTTCGCTCCTAAAATCTGTAGTGATGGAGGACATTCTTCTCTCATCCTTAAGCTCAAAACGAACCAAAAAAAACACACAGGCACTTCCCAGGGCAACGTGTAAATGAATATAGAACATGTTTGTGAATTAAAGGCGAACCTTCCTCACACCACCTCCAACTCCTCCTCAAAGGTTATGAAACAAGTTATCATACAGCAATCTCTTTAAACCACACCTCATAACATAATCTACATGTTCAAACATTCCAGAATTAAGGCATTTGTTTATTTACTTGACCCTCAGCAGCATATTATTTATTGCATTAGGTACCAATTTCATAAACGCTCTATTTCCTCACAAGTAAAAAAAAAAGGGTTTAAAATGTTAGATCTCTGAGTTGTTCTTTTTTTTTCTTCAAGTATATATTTCTTCCTCTACTGTTTAAATCACATTATAAGGGGTTGGCTGTTAGCTTTTTATTGAGTGAACACAGCATTAGTTTGTGCTGACAGGCACTAACATCTCTTTTAGTAGAGCAGATCTACACACTCCTTTTCTGTCAGCTCTTAAGGAAAATTCCCCCTTCAGGAAATTTGAGAGAGGCGAGTGGGAAGAGCAAATGTGAGCAGCATTTGTGCATCTCTTAGGTGGGCTGGTAATGCTTGCACTGCTGCAGTGCTGTCAGAAACAAACAATGATGCACGAAACCAACACGTTTCTGATTTCTACCTGAAAATACTTTGAGGCGGACGTTAGAACCTAGAAGACATAATTTAAGAAGATGGGATTTTTAGCCTGTTTTAGTAACTGACTGAGCGCTCCAGGTAGTGCAGCACGCGGGCGTCCGACTTAATCAGTCTTCCACACAACGTTCAAGATCTTGACGACTTCCTCATAGATGATGAAAACGATGGCGACATCCATGCACACCCGACCCAGACGAGGAATGGTACCTTTGTAGAACCTGGATATGGGGAGAGCTTGATGTCACATCAAGACACTGTGATTCAATTTTGATTTTGCTACTTAAAGCTGCAGTATAGTTAGCTTTTAGGAAAATACTTTTTTTTACATATTTGTTTAAGCCGTCACTATGACCTGACAGGAAATATCTAACTCCTCTGCCTTCTCCCTGTGGTCAATCTGTCATCTGCAGAAATGCACCGCTCTTGGTCAGAAACAGCCAATCACAGGCAGGAGGAGTGTCTTAGCGCTGACAATCATTCTTGTGTACATGCTGTCCTCTTAGCTTCCATCAGCACAGCTTCAGCAAACCAGCAATAGTGAGCTCGTACACGCTGTGTGGGGGTGCCGGTGGGATCAATGCGTACACCAGCCTGATTGACAGTCCAAAGACCTTCCTCCTGGTTCCGATTGGTTGTTTCGGAGTAGGAACGAAGGCAATCTTCAGCAATCATTGGGTGAGAGGCGGAGTCCACCCTGGACAGGTCACCACCCCGTCACATGGCAACCAAAGCAGAGACTAAAAAGAGAAACTTTTATCCCCAGCTTGAGTCTGTCTCATTGCACTTACGCCATTGGGCCTTCATACTTCATGATTTGAACGGCACAGTCCACCGTGCTTTTGTACTTGTGGGCCTCCAGTCCCTGTTGACAAAAACACAGCCCGTCACCAAGAGCGCTGCAGGTCGAGTTCTGAGGCGAGGATCAAATGTGCGAGGGAGCAAACCTGCATCCTGGTCTTAATCACATCCAGTGGAGTGTTTCCAAAGACACTGGCAGCACCGGCAAAAGCTCCAAACAGCCCGGTGATCAGGGGGTTGATGACTTTGTTGGGGTCGTCACCTTGAAGAGGGACGAGAAGCGGTCTGTTTGAAAGAGCTGCAGCTTTAGATGGATTTTTATTACTGCAGCGGTTTGTTTTCGTACCTTTGTACCAGTTTCTCAGCGAGGTCATGACGTAGAAGCGGATGGCCTGATTGGAGCCCTGTTTTAGCACAGTGGCAGTCAGTCCCTGATAAGTCCCCTTTAGTCCTGAAGAAGCACCAGACAACAAAACTCTTCATTATCAAAGTGGAAGGAGGATATTGTCTATTAAAATAACATAAACAAATCAGAGGGGAAAGATGAACTGCTTGGTCGGTGTAGCTTTTGTTCAATTGAAGGAAAACAACACAGACCCAGCAGAATCAATCATTTCCAAAGTGGCAGAATCATTATGTCCATAGCGATTGTTAACCAGCAGGGGGCAGTATATGTACATCAAACCTTCCTCACCTTCGGATCTTACAATCTCCCTCACCCCGTGAAAAAATCCTCTGTACTTTGGGTTAGCTGATGTTTGATCATGAATGAATTTAACCTAATAAGACAGAAGAAGTGAGTTTAAATGAGTAAAATTACACAGTACATATCTCAGATATTTATTTGTGAAATATTTGAAAAGCTATGTATTTTTTTTTTGTTGACATTTTGTTATTATGCATCAATTTCTGCTGCTCTGTCATGTGAAATCTCAATCAAGTCTAAAAAGATTTGTGATTGTAAAGTGACAAAATGTGATCCTCTTCAGAGAGTTCCACACACACGGCCCTGTGTGTGTACACAAAAATATTTTTTTCCCCCAAAGTCTTGTAACTTTTTAATTATACCTTAACGGTCTCCATTGGACAGACTACAACCACGGCCTCGGCGACTCCGGCTCCAAGACCGCAGAGGAATCCTCGCTTGCTGTCTAGTTTGCCGCTCTCGTCTCGCATTTTATTACTGAGGAATTCAAACATCCCGAACCTGCCAGGGTGAGGAGGACATGAAGACCATCACTGACACCGCAGAGAAACTCTTGGTGGTTTTGCATAATTGAAAGCAGCAAGTTTTAGCTGGGATGGAGTCCAATATGGAAGAAAGTTGTTGTTTATTTCACAAAGAAATAAACAACAACATCACAGAATATGTCAGATTGGCAATGAAGGTTAGTTTTTGTCTGGAGTCCCTCAATGCACCATAAATGTAAACACCAGCGACGCGCCGATAAATTGGCTCTCATTTCCTTCAATTTGGGAAATCAAAACCAATTTTATCCTCTGATCTTAACTTTTGCAAAGGTATGAAAATCATCCCCGTTTGATCTGCAGGCAGCGAGGGCCGACTCACACGCCTGCCCACAGGCTCACATCTGGATGTACACGGTTAGACAATAGTCACCAATGTTGCTAACGTAGCAATTTTATTGCTGAAAAAAAATGTTTGACACAACAGACAATTTTTTTGACAAGACAATGATGTCAGAAGTCTTTACTTTCTACTCTAATGCCTGTTACACTGATTGCATCAACAACAAACACAATCAGTGTGAAAGACAAAAGGCTGCTTCAGAGAATCTAAACCATAAACTCTATTGTTTATTAGAGAACCACTTGTGTGTGTTTAATGTTGCGTCTGCAGTACCTGACCGCCGCTTTGGGTATAGAGCCGTAGAGCAGCGAGCTCAGGCCTCTGTAGAGCCCCTTCACCCCATGGCCGTTCACCGTCTGCTTCACACAGTCCACTGTGAGGAAAAAATGGACACAAGTTAGATTTTAAAGCAGTAATGACACCTAAATAGGTTGAAGGGACACAAAGATCAGATGAATTTTGTTTTCGAGTTGGGCTGGTATGAAGATCTGTGCCAAGGTTCAAAAGTCAAAGGCTGGCTGACGACGTAACAAACGTCTGTTTGCTTGACTCTTAACCTGTGATAACAGAAGAAGAAGTTAACCTGTGATAACATAGAGCATAAAAAGATTTTCTTTTCACTTTAAAAGGTGAGTTCATTTCTAGTTTGATACTTTTGGAAACCTGATTTTTTTTATTTTTCTTGGTGACAGTAGTTCAGTCACAATATTCAGTAATAATTGCAGCTGGTTGTTTAAATCCAGGCTGTAACAACTTTTGATTTTCGTTCCGTGTTGGGCACCCCTCAATGTTTGGGAAGCTCAATCTAAAAGCCACAATCTCCGTATCATATCTGAAGTAAAATAGAAAAAAAAAAAACAGTTGTATCGAGACT